GGAAGCAGGCTTGAGGCTTAGGCTTAAGCTTAGGCTTGGGCTTGGGCTTGGAAGGAGGCTTGGAAGCTTAGGCTTAGGCTTGGAAGGAGCTTAGGCTTAGGCTATCGTTTCGTTTAATCGTTTTGTTTAATCGTTTTTGAAATGCTATTTGATTAGGTTTAAAACCAGATTTTACTTGATGCTATACAAGAAAAAGTTTTGATAATTAAACAGAACGATTAAACGTTTCAATAAAACGATTAAGTTAAGAAAAGTAAAACGAGTAAACAGTTAATTGAGACGATAAACAGTTAAATAAATGTATAAGGCTCAGTTGGAGTATTTTAAAACTAAAGCTTTATTAAACTATTGGCTTAATAACGGAAAAATCTGTCGGTTCTTTTTGCCGTTGACAAAAATTGATGGTTTTCGTGTTTTTCTCATTTTTAACTCTTCTATTTGGACTATTTTAACTATCGGTCGACGCAGAATGAAATTACGCGTTGAATGATGATACAAAATTAACTAAAAATATAATAGCCACGCAAGGTTATGAAGCGAAAGGTTAAGTCCAATTGCATGTGGGCGGGGTTTAGATTTTTGGTCAATAACTAAGTGTAGATATTATATTTTGAGTTAATTTTGGTATCATTCGACGCGCATTTTTATTCTGCATCCCAGCGCTAAAACGATAGGATATGTTAGAAGTCTTTTGGCTCACCATCTTCAAAATCGCATTTAGTGTTCTCACAGATATCCTTGCTGAACAACTTCACTGCCCGATGCCAAAACCGTGGTTTGCTCGCCGAGTGCTTTGCGAACGGATTCAACCTAAAAAAATTCTACAATGGTACAATTGATTTATCTTTTAAGATTTGTCTTGTGATCTTGTGATCTTGTGAACTTGTGATCTTGCTACCTTGTGATCTTGTTATCTTGTTGCCTTGTTATCTTGCTATCTTGCTGTTTTGTTATCTTGCTATTTTGCTATCTTGTGAACTTGTTATCTTGCTATCTTGCTATCTTGCTATCTTGCTATCTTGTTATCTTGCTACCTTGTGATCTTGTGATCTTGTTACCTTATTACAGCATTGCATATCTTGTTAGCCCAATATTTTTCACCAACCACACGATCATCTGGATGCTCCTCGTGCTCTTCAACCAACTCATTCTCCACTTCCTCCTCGATCTTCATGTTAATCTCTTTTGAATCTTTTCTTTTCTGCCAGCAAAGGTCTAAAACGTTTCCATTTTACTATTAAACATTATTTATAAACATTATTTTTTGATTCAATTTTTAGATTAGCATTATTTGCATGAAAAAATCTTAGAAAAACCTTTCTCAGCTTGCGTTAAGCTCTTCTCCGAAATCCTCATAATCTCCACTCCAGAATTTGTTTCCTAAAATTAATTGACTAGTTGGATCATTTTTAAAAGAGAATACAATGAAAATCAGATTTGCATTTCCTAAGGCACAATTTCTAAGGCACAATTCAATTTCAAATTCACCCACCAACAGTCAATCTCTGCGCTGCCTCTGGCTCAGTTCTCTTCTTTTCTGACATTCAAGACCATCCGAATCATATGAGATCTAAAGGTTTTTATGTCAATTTAGATCAAGTTTGGATTTAGGTTTAGATTTAGGTTTAGATTTAAGTTTAGATCAAGTTTAAATCAAGAGTTCCTAGATCAGAAGTTTAGATTTTAGGTTTATTTGTTTGAAAAAGTTTAGATCAGGATTTAGATCAAGTTTGGTCTTAGGTTTAGATTTAGGTTTAGATTTGGCGTTTAGCTTTAGCTTTAGATTTGAGTTAGAGCAAAGTTTAGATTTAGGTTTAGATTTAAGTTTAGATCAAGTTTAGATCAAGTTTGGATTTAGGTTTAGATTTAGGTTTAGATTTAAGTTTAGATCAAGTTTAGATCAAGTTTGGATTTAGGTTTAGATTTAGGTTTAGATTTAAGTTTAGATCAAGTTTAAATCAAGTTTAGATCAAGTTTAGATTTAGGTTTAGATTTAGGTTTAGCTTTAAGCTTAGATTTAGGTTTAGAGCAAGTTTAGCTTTAAGTTGGGAATCAGGTTTAGCTTGAAAGCTTAGATCAAGTGTCGATCAAGTTTCGATCAAGTTTAGATCAAGTTTAGATCAAGTTTAGGTCAAGTTAAAATCAATTTAGTTTTGAAAATTTTGAAACAAACCTCAATGTCATCAAGAATGGCAATGTCTCCGTTCTCGCCAACAAAATTTGAAGCGACAAAGATGATCTGAAAATTTGGAGTAGGGGAAAAAGAGCATCAAAGCGTTGGAATAGTTTAGTTGTTTTGTTGAATAAACTACCGTAAGCTCTGTAATAATTGCCCTACGCCCTCATTACCCAGGCGCGTAGTCCCATAAGATTTTTAGTTAGTATTTCATTTTCAAAGCCCTCGTACTTTCAAAAAATAATGTCTTTGGTATCAAAAAATAGCCCTGAATCTCAGCTATTTTTTGATACCCTAAACTTTCATTGTAGCATAAACCAGTGTCGAGAAAAACTCGTTCAAAGCTAGAGCTACGCAACACTCCCCAAAATCATTATGGGGCTGGGGTACTATTACCGTATTTACGGTAGATAGGCTTTCAACTAGGCACAACTAGGAAAGGGTCTTACGAATCTGAATCTTTATGAATCTTAGGTCAACGAGAGAAGCTTTGGGCAAAAAGAGGTTCGGTTGTGCCCATTCCGGTGAACCATCAGGAACTCCTGGCAGTTGAAGAGTGGATTGAAATTGACAGTGTTTGGGAAGATTCCCGTTGGCACACTTGCAGCAACACGTTTTCCGATTGCCAATGCCTGAAGTGTGCAATATTTACAGACTGGCTTCATATAGGGAAATCTTATAGACTTAGAATCTTATAAACTTAAGAATCTATAAACTAAGAATCTTATAAAGATCTTATGGACTTAGAATCTAATAGACTTAGAATCTATTAGACTTAGAATCTAATAGACTTAGAATCTGAGTTTCATAGACTTAGAATCCTAATAGATTTAGAATCTTATAGACTTGGAATCTAATAATAATCTAATATAATCTAATAATAAATCTTATAGAATCTATAAACTGATCTAACAAGTGTGAAAAGTGTGAGCGAAACAATTCTTATTGATAATGGCAATGTAAAACCTTACTTGGCTCTAACGGTGATCGGCGAAGAAGCGCAGGCGATTGAGCACGGGCGAAGTGAGCCTCATCAGATGGAGCAGCTCCTCGAGCATGAGGCGATCAGATGGCTGCCTTCTGAAATGATCGGAAATTGTCGAATGAACAGAGATTACTCCTTGGACACTTTATAAAATTACTCCTTTAGATTTAATTATCTCTTAGTCTCCATCTTCAAACCCCTGATCTCCATTTTCCTCTTGATCCTCTTGAGCTCCATTTTTCCTTATACAAAAACTAATCTTCGATCAATCAAAGGAAGCGATCAAGGGGCTAAAGGGGTAGATCCAGCCTGAGGAACTTTCAACCCTATTTCTCTTTTAAACCATTTTTTGAAGAACAGAACTTGAAAAAGTTTAGAAGGTGAAGTTTAAAAACGTTTCTATGTCAAAGCTTTTGATGAAAAGGTTGAAAAGTCAAAGTTCAAAGCATTTCTATTGATTGATTGATTGATTGATTCCTTCGAATTTCGAATTCTTTTAATTCTAGAAGAATTATAAATTTATTTAGGATTAGGGAGAAAGGTTAGAAGGCGACGTTTAAAACGTTTCTATGTCAAAGCTTTTGTTGAAAAGGTTGAATAATTATAGTTGAAATTCAAAGTCAAAGATTCAAACGTTTCTTTGTCAAAACTTTCCTTGAAAAGGTTAGAAGGCAAAGTTCAGAACGTTTCTATGTCCAAGCTTTTGATGAAAGGTAAAATCAAATAAATTTAATTTAAAACTTGAAAGGTTGAAAAGTCAAAGTTTAAAACGTTTCTATGTCTAAACTTTCCTTGAAAGGTTCAAGAGTCAAGCTCAGAACGTTTCTATGTCAAAACTTTGATGAAAAAAGTTGAAAAGTCAGAAGTTCAAAGCATTTCTATGTAGACATTGATTGGTTGATTGATTGATTCCTTTGAATTTCTAATTCTTCTAATTCTAAAATCTATAACTATTTCTAAAATTGATTCCTTAAACTCAATGTTTCAATATCCCTTCTAAAATTTCATTGGCATTCCTCCAGAAATCCCGATTTTTTCAAAAGATAAAAGTAGGAGATTTCTTTTGAAGAGTGAAAGAGGGATAGCCCTATAGCCCAGTAAGAGATTTTCTTTTGAAGAGTGAAGAAGAGCTAGCCTATATCCTTTAGTAAAGAGGGCTAGCCTTTAGCCGATAGGTATCTGATATGAGATCACTCAAAGGAACCCAGTCCTTTTAGGCCAAAAAGGCAAAAGCAAAAAAAGCCAAAAACCAAAAAAGCCAAAAAAGCCAAAAAGCCAAAAAAGCCAAAAAAAAATCATTTTACAGAGCTGCCACTAAGAAGGTTTTCATTATGACTAAGATGAAGTGATTTGATTTGAAAGTTTCATTTGATTTTCTAGCATTCACGTCATAATTCCAAAGTGAATGACGTCTTGAAAAATAGCTCAAAAACTTGATAATGATTTGATTTTGATAGAGAAAGCTATGCTCATGATGGAAGATCATTTGATTAGTTTCAAATAAATCCTAAAAACAGTCAAACTAACTTCGATTCTTCACTATTTTAAACTTTAAACAAACAAAGTCTTGATTCTGGACAAGCTAAACTATCAAATCTCTCTGATAGAATGGGTTTTTGATTTGTTTAATTGATTCAATCAATCAAATTCTTAAGATTTAACATCTGAGCTTTATACTAGACGTACAAAGTTACAACGTACAATACAAGTTTAAAGTACGGCAAATAAAGCTTTGAAAAGGGTTGATCTTTGGGTCAATCAAAATTTACCTGGAGCTGGCGCATTCTGGAAATATGGGGTTCAGGCTTTCCGGTGGCAATTTGCCAATCAAGCTGATCATCGGGTTGGCGGGAGATTCGCCCAACAACATGGTCGTCCATCCATGTAACATGACAGAGCAGCTCCTGTAAATCATATTTGTTTACAGTGGACTTTGGATAGGGTTATTGGAATGTTTGTTTGTCAAAATTCCGTATAAAAACTTGTTTCTTGGTTTATTGATTAATGGTTTAACTCAATAAAGTACTTTAAAACTTATAAAAACATCAAAAGTTAAACAATGAAGAAGGGGAAGAAGAGGAAGAGGGAAGAAGAGAAGAGGAAGAAGAAGAAGAGAAGGAAGAAGAGGAGAAGAGGAAGGAGAAGAAGGAAGAGGAAGAAGAGGGGAAGAAGAAGAGGAAGAAGAGGAGAAGAAGAGGAAAAGGGGGGGAGGGAAGGAAGGGAGGGAGAGAGGAGAGAGGAGAAGGGGGGGAGGGGAAGGGAGAAGAAGAAGAAGAGGAAGGAGGAGGGGGAGGGAAGAAGAAGAGGAGGGAAGAGAAGAAGAAGAAGAGGAAGAAGAAGAAGAAGAAGAAGAAGAAGAGGAAGAAGAGGAAGGGAAGAAGACGAAGGAGAAGAAGAGACGAAGAAGAAAGAAAGAAGAAGTGGAAGAAGAAGAGGAAGAAGAAGGAGGGGAAAGCAAGAAAGAAAGGAAGAAATTACTAAAATTGCCCTTCTAAAAATTAATTTTGACAAGTACAGGGTGATCAAAAAGTACAAAAGAAGCAAACGAAGCACACTTTACAAAAGAAGCTCGATTTTTTAGCTAAAACCCAGATCGAAATTCGACTTACTATATAGTATTTTGAAGCTGAAATTCTGGGGAGAATTTCTATACCTAAACCATCCTGATATCTTTTAAGGAGCCCAGATCCTTCTCTAATGTTACTTTCAGATCTCTTTCTAATCCATTTCAAATCCCTTTCTATTCTCAGATCCCTTTCTATTCTCAGATCCCTTTCTAATATTATTTTTAATTGCTTATCGTATTGAATCACAATCGTATTGAATTCCCTATCAATTAGCATTAGAAATTTCTCTTCTCTCTCCGTTTTTCACGATGAATCTTTAGGCTTAAAGTGTTTCAATTCGCGATTCTGCAACGGCTAGTCGTTGAAAGATTATTTCTTGTCTAGCACAATAATTGCTAAAATAATCTGCTATTTTTCGTATTGAAATTCCTATTGTGAAGCTAGTTTATGATATTTTATCATTCCACCAAGACTTGCAGGCGGAAAAAAACGAAAAATTGAATAATATTCAAAGAAAAAGTCAACAAATGGAGGAGCTACGTTTTCCGCAATTTTTTTCGTAGTCCATAGCTGCCCCATTTGTTGGGTTTTGCTTTGAAAAGCAAAAGATATTCAATTTTCCGCTTACAACCCTGATTCCATTGAGTTTTCCCTCTAAATTTCTTTATTGTCAATACTATTTCCCTTCTTTTCTTTGATCTACATATTTACTCAATAAAATAAAATAAATATAAACTTATTTTGTGATTTTCCACTCCACAAGAATCCTTTCTTGTGGATTCAGTGAAATTCGATTCAATGAAAGTCAACTCAAGAGTTCAATGCTCAGCGGGTGTTCTCTGATCTCCATGAGGACAAATGGACCTCATAGAGATCACTCGAGCTGATCTCCATGAGGACAAAAGCCAGGCGGCTTGCTCAGTAAAGGATAGGCAACAATTCCAGGAATTTCAAAAGTCTTTCTTTTTCTCTTTCTACGATTCCTTTATGACCTCTATAAAAGAAAAACCAGTTCACACCCTTTCTCCTTTCAATGAGATCAATTTGAGATGCAAAAAGCGGCGATTAGCAAAAGGGAATTCGGAATTTCTAATCACTTCGTTTCTTTCTGAAGATTTAGGTCAAAAGACTCGAAGATACGGATCGAATTTTGAAAATTGTTTACAACAGGAATCAAAAAAAGAGTTTTTCTAGCACTTTCACTTTACAAACAGGAGTTCTTTTAAGTCAAAAACCATTGATTTATTAGAATGTTTTAAAATCCTGAAGCACAAACATTCTGACTTCTTTTTGCGAATTTCTTCCCTCTCTCTTTCCCTTCAAACCGTATTTTTCGTAGTGGACCTTAAGCTTCCTAAATTCCTCGAAATCTCGAGAACCGCTTATCAGAACCTATCGATGTGGGGTCGGAAAATGTAGTTGACGATGAGATCTTGTGGGGGATTAGAGTGTTGAGCTTCTGTGAAAGCTTAGGAACTGTAAAATAGTCATCAACTCGGCAAGGTGCACTACTATTTTTTTTTTTTTTTTTTTTTTTTTTTTTTTTTTTTTTTTTTTTTTTTTTTTTTTTTTTTTTTTTTTTTTTTTTTTTTTTTTTTTTTTTTTTTTTTTTTTTTTTTTTTTTTTTTTTTTTTTTTTTTTTTTTTTTTAGAGAAAATACGGTATCTACTTTTCTATCTTTTTTTGTGATCCCTTACAAAATCAAACCAAAAAAAATCTGAATGAGTGCCTTAAAACAGATAAGATTACTGTATCAAACATTTATCTGGATCTTTACGGTTATCGGGGGAGGGGGATCGAGCAAATTGTCGGGGGAGGGGGGATAGTCGAGTGATTATCGGGGGGCCGAGTTTTGACCATTTTGTAGTCCAATTTTAGGTAGGTTTTTGTTAACAACTTTTGATGAAACAAATAGTTTCGCAAAGTTGACGTTCTAAGCTATCTAAATCTTATTAAAAGTTCCTGATCTGAGAAGTTTAAGGTGCTTAAAAATGAGTTGCAAGTCGGCCAAAAACTCCTCCCCTCCGGTTAACCGCAAAGCACCATTTATCTCATTGATAATGATCATTTTCTATATTCTCATGTTAAAGTTCAAATACAAATGTTGAAAATAGAAAAATCAAAGCATTGAACTTGCTTTGAACTGGCTTTGAACTTGCCTTGAACTGGTTTTGAACTGGTTTGAACTGGCTTTGAACTTGCTTTGAACTGGCTTTGAACTTGCTTTGAACTGGCTTTGAACTTGCCTTGAACTGGTTTTGAACTGGTTTTGAACTGGCTTTGAACTTGCTTTGAACTTGCTTTGAACTTGCTTTGAACTGGCTTTGTCTCCCTTCCAAAGATTTTCGGAACAAAGTTGAGTTTTGTCAGATTTATAACAATGAGCTATTTTTAGTTTTATAGTGCTAAACTTTAAAGAGTTTAAAAGATTTGCAAACTAAGCCAACTTATTATAGCCAATTCTTTTATGTTCACGTCATTATAGCTCAGCTTGGACGAAAATTTCACTTCTCATTTTGCCATTCGCATTGGTCAATAAGTGGGAGAGTGAGAAAGAGACTGGAGAAAGAAATTGGGTAATTTGAAAAAATCTTTGCTTTCAGAAAAAAGAGAAGAGAAAGAATGACTCCAGAGATGGGATTTGCTTTCTTCTTTTCTCTCTACCATCTCTTTTTGTTCACTTCTTTTTGAACATAAAAGGGAAAAGGAAAGAGAAAAAGAAAGGGAAAAAGAAAGAGAGAAAGAAAGAGAGAAAGAAAGAGAAAAGGAAAGAGAGGAAGAAAGAGAGAAAGCTGTATGTAGAAAGGAGCAATTGAAAGTTGACGATAATGAGCTTCGAAGGATTAAATCTATGTGGATTGGAGTATTGATTGAAGGAATATGAAAATCAAACAAAGAATACAGTTTACTCGTTTGGGAATGGTGATCAGACTGAACTGAACTTGATCAGACTGAACTGAACTTGATCAGACTGAACTGAACTTGATCAGACTGAACTGAACTTGATCAGACTGAACTGAACTTGGTCAGACTGAACTGAACTTGGTCAGACTGAACTGACCTTGATCAGACTGAACTGAACTTGATCAGACTGAACTGAACTTGATCAGACTGACTGAACTTGTCAGACTGAACTGAACTTGGTCAGACTGAACTGAACTTGGTCAGACTGAACTGAACTTGATCAGACTGAACTGAACTTGATCAGACTGAACTGAACTTGATCAGACTGAACTGAACTTGATCAGACTTATCAGACATCAATAAATTGATTTAAAAGAAAATCTCTAATGAAAACAAAGCATAGATCGATTGGTTTATTATTTATTTCAGAAAAAGCGGACAAGACTTTCCGGTCAACGTGACAGAAGAAGAAAAATGAATGACCAACCTTTGCTCACTGGACCACCGCCCTCATTATTATAACCGTCGGCGGAAAATTCAGTCGTTGAAACCTTCGAACCGAGAAGATCTGAAACTTGTTTTTAACGTTAATCGTCTGGGCTTTTTGTTCATTTATGAGCAATTCTACTACCAGGAATCTTTCCAATTCTAGAACCAGGCTAGGATCTAGCCTAGCTCTAGTCAAACTAGAGTCTAACCAGATGATTAGACTCTAGTTTGACAGAGAACCGATGGTTAGACTCTAGTTTGACAGAGAACCAGATGGTTAGACTCTAGTTTGACAGAGAACCAGATGGTTAGACTCTAGTTTGACAGAGAACCAGATGGTTAGACTCTAGTTTGACAGAGAACCAGATGGTTAGACTCTAGTTTGATTACTCTTGCAAAACTCTTTGTTTTCAAGATGGACTATAAAGAAATGATTCAAATAGTGAACGTTTTTACTAGATTTTTGATGAGTTTAGTTTTCTTAAGTTTTCTTTGTCTTTTTGTCTATCAAGTAAGACTGGAACTATGAACAGTAACGGGTTTTATTTGAGAGAAACAGGTGCTTCTCGTGGACGGTGGACGGGTGGACGAGTGAGGTGGACGGTACAGGTGGACGAGCGAAAGCGAGATGCTTCACTCGTCCATTTGTTTGTGATTGACAAATTCTCCATTTAAATGCCAAAAACACATTCATTTTTCATGTCTAGATTTGGTTGGTTTTTCGGGAAAGATATCCTTTCTCAGTTTGATGGCTAAATGATGGGGTTAAAGAGAGAAAAGAATGGGGAAAGCATGGTGAAAACTGAAAGAAAATCTCGACCCAAATCACGAAAAAATGAGTTTTTTCTCTTTGGTGAAATCAGGGATTAGATTCCTTTTTTTCCTTCGATGATCGATGAAGAAAAAAGAAGCCAAGAATCGAAATCGTTATAGTTGAAGGATTCTTGGAGGAATCAAGCGAGAAAAAGCGAGAAAAAGCGGGAAAAAGCTCGATTTTCTCATTTTATATCAGCTTATTATCAGTTCGATTCGAGATTGGATAAAATTCGGCTAAAAAGCATGGGAAAATGAGAAAGATCAAGGGGTTTTTGGCCTAGTTTTTAGCCTTTTTCCATTTTTTCATTGGAGATTGAGCTTAGCTTTAAATTGCTTGTAAAGCCGATCGAAAACGATAATCGTGAGCCGAATTGTAAACCAGTTTCCACCGGAAAAGGCTATCTTTGATCAACATCAAGATTATATCAAGAAATCGATTTTCAATAGCGAAAACGTAAACTCTTTTGAGCTATACTAACCTATGGTACTAACCTATAGTTAACCTAAACTCTAGATGAGCTCTTTTGAGCTCTATTGAGCGTAAACTCTTTTGAGCTATACTATGGTGCTAACCTATAGTTAACCTAAACTCTAGATGAGCTATTTAACCTAAAACTAAACTCTAAACTATCACTATTTACCATGAAGGTGCCCTGGCCCTTCAAATTGTCATTCCAACCAAAAAGAATTCGAATCTTCAAATTATTAGCATTTTTATGCACACTAAAGTCCTACCAAAGTTCTATCAAAGTCCCACTAAAGTCAAGTTTTTTGCTTTTTTGAATAAAAAGCAAAAACTTGACCTTGGTGGGACTCAAACCCGGGAAAAGAAAACTCGAGTAGTTTTGGAAAGCAACTCCCTATCCATTAAGCCATGGTTTCGCCCGCGACAGAGAAAGGCTTTGTTCTCTCCGTACTCTCCGTTCTCTCCGATATCTCCGTTTTTTTAAATTCACAATCGAAATTTATATTGAAAATTAAAAGTATAACTTTATCAGATCGGAAGCTTTGGAGTTGAATTTTTCAAAAGACTTTCTTCTGAACTGCTTCTAATAGGCCAAAAAATTTGAGCTCGAGGTGGTTGTAAGAAGTTGTAAGAAGTTAGAAAGCCAGCTTTCTAGCGCACTCATTATCAGTTTATTGAAATCAAAACTCGTTTTGCGAGCGCCAGACAAGGAGTGTTTACATGCTACATCTACATGTTTACATGCTATATCTTACATAAAGTACATCCTGTACATAAAGCACATAACGTACATAAAGTACATCCTGTACATAAAGCACATCCTGTACATAAAGTACATTCTGTACATAAAGTACATAACGTACATAAAGTACATCCTGTACATAAAGTACATAACGTAAATAAAGCACATAACGTAAATAAAGTACATCCTGTGCATAACGTACATAGAGTACATAACGTACATAAAGTACATGAAAGAAAGAGCCTAATCTAGACGCCTAGACAGTTGAAAGGATCAGAGGAAAGCCCGCTTAAAGTGAAAGGAAAACCCGCTTAAAGTTCTCTAGTCAAAAACTTGTGTCTAGTCGATCTCTACAGTTAAGTCTTTGGTCACAATGATTGTATAAGATAAGTAAAATGTATTGTATAGGATAAGTAAAAGTATTGCATAAAAAAAAAACAACTCACATTGAAGCACAGATTGATGAGGAGTATTCGAAGCAACGGGCTGTGCTGGCGCGGTATTTGGTGCAGCTCTTGCCAAAGCTGCTCCCTAAAAATGAAAGTTATTCACCGAAAATTTTCCCCCATACACAAAGCACAATTTGTTTAGTTTAGTCGAACACTGTTATTTCAACTACAACTTGAAAAAGACACGGATTGCTATTGGCATTTTGGAAACTCCGAAAAACCCTTTGAAAAACAAAAAACTTTAAGAAAAGCAAAGAGAGCTCTTTTCTGAGAAAAGAGCTGAGTGAAATTAGCTGAAATTTTTTGTGGATGTGAAGAAAATGGCGGAAGGGAAAAGGGAAATGATCGAGATTGATCAATTCGGGAGTTGAAAAGCTGGTGATGTTTTGGGTACAATGAGCACTGATGACAATTTAGAGTTGCGAACGTTTGGTTGTCCTAGCTCTAAAGTTGGGAATCTAGAGCTGGAAACTTAGAGCTGGGAACTTAGGGCTTGGAATCTAGAGCTGGGAATCTAGAGCTGGGAATTTAGAGCTGAGAATCTAGAGCTGGGAATTTAGAGCTGGGAATTTAGAGCTGGGAATTTAGAGCTGGGAATTTAGAGCTGGGAATCTAGAGCTGGGAATTCTTAGCATTAACTTAAAGCATTAACTTAAATTCACTTAAACTCATATGCCAAATTTGAAAGAGATTTAAAAATTGACATTCAGGTCGAAGAAATTGACATTCAGGTCGAAGAAATTGACATTCAGGTCATCAATCTCATCGAGATACTCGATGAGATCGATCTGGAAGCAATGCTAGCGCTTCGAAAGTCTCAAAGAGCAGTTGCAGCTTACGAGTGAAGCTTTAAACTTTCGAAGCTCCAAATGGAAGCTTCGAAGCTCCAAATACAAAGTGCATTCTACATTTATTAGATTGAAATTTAGCGTAAATAAGGATTAAACTCTAGTTAAGCTTAAAACTTAAAAGAAAAGGTCAACAGATTGAGCCAAAAATTCGAAATGACATGCGAAATGACCGAAAAATGCCGAAAATGTCGAAAATGCCGAAATTGACATGCGAAAAGGCACAAAGAACGCTAGAAACAGTCTCCTTGTAAAAAAAGCAAAAGCAAATTTTCATAACGGGCTCGAATTTGAGAGGTCTAGCTTTGGAACCGAGCGCTCTATCACTAGCTCAAGACTGACGTGAACCCAGGCCCCGAAAAGTTCTCTATGACCCAAATAACCTCATTTTCAGAAGCTTTAAACGTCTTTGGCAAAACAACATCTTTAACAAAACTTTATACGCTTATAACTCTTAGCAGATTTACATTTAGCAAAAACGGAGCACGTATTCGGAATCAGCGTCAAAATTCTGCGTCCAATTGTATAGATCGCATGTCATTTGGCTTAGCCTGTTGACCATCCCTTGTTAGTTATAGTTAACACGTTGACGACATTGTCACCTGATGCTGTCTGACACATATTCGTTCGCCTGGGACATTGTCACCTGATGTCAGGTGACATTTTTGTCGAAAAAAAAACAACGTTGTCCCATGCGATTGTTTGTACAAAAACGCCATTGTCGTCAACGTGTTAAGCTCAAATCCTACAATTCACAGAGATTATCATCAGTGCCATTTCACAAGAAATTCGAAAAACCGTGAAAGCGCGAATGAGCGGTGTGAAATTTTAATGTATAGTGCTAAAAAGGTTTTAGCGAAAATGGAAAGCCGAAAAAAAAAATTTCTTTGGCCCACAACTTCACCTGGGCACACGGAGATGGGGCACAACAGCCGCCACACTAGAATAAATGGATAAAATTGAATAAATGATAATTGGAATTTGAAAAACACTTGAAAATTGTCGGAAAAGGTGCTGGGTTTTCACTTACGCCTTGTTGTGGAGCGGTGTAGGATGGGCCAGCACTGTAGGCTCGATTGGCTGTCGTCAAGCAGGCATGAGAGACTGAATTCGGAAATTTATATGAAAATTATAATTCTCTCTATAACGTCTCTATAACGGAAGCGGAAAACTCTATATAACGGAATGAAATTTTGATCCCGGCCGACGCTAAGCTAAATATAACGGCACTCTATATAACGGAAAAATTTTTTTGGTTTCTTTCATTCCTTTATAGAGAGTTGACTGTATATAAAAGTATAGTTAACTCCTACAAAGTTTCGTCTACTATTAAATTGAATAGAGGTTCATCAATTAATCTAATCAAGCTTAAAATTCACTACCACTTCCCAAGCACCATGGTAAAGTAGAGAAATGAAAGGGAAAGAGATTCGAACTGGGAATTGAACCTTTGAATTGAACCCTATTCTTCTGATCTTCTGACCTATTCTTCTGATTCTTCTGATCCTCAAATATTTCTCTTCATTTTGATCCCTAACTTAAGTAAATTAGCCTGTGAACGTTTTTAGATGACCTGGAAGTGAATATAGGAAATAGGGAGGGAAATTAAAAAGCTGTTAAAAAAAATGTGTTAAAAAGTTAGGTAGCTTATGTGTTATTGCTAGCAACTCATTTTTGTTTACTTCTTGCGCTTTTTACTGTACCGATCATCTTATCATTTTAGCTCTTCTGGTCGATTTCAGTTATTACCGGATTTCCTCTAATAAACGCCCCGACCAATTTTAGACACCTCGTGCTCAGCCCCATTTTGAGATATTTTTATTGTTAATATACCAAAAAATAGAAGAGATTAAGGGCTATCTTTTGGTATATTAAAAATAAAATATCTCAAAATGGGACTGAGAACGAGGCGCCTAAAGTTGGTCAAGGCGGGGGGGGAGGTTTAAACGCTTTCAAGTTTAAACACCTCGTTCTCAGTCCCACTTTGAGATATTTTTATGTTTAATATATTAAAAGATAGCCCTTAATCTCTTCTATTTTTTGGTATATTAACCTTAAAAATATATCAAAGTGGGACTGAGAATGAGGTGTCTAAAATTGGTCGAGGGGGGGGGGCCGTTTATTAGAGCTAATACGGTAGCTTCTTTGTAAGCAATAAATTCCTATCTAAAAATCAATACACCATAAAAATCGTTCGAATTAAGGCCACACATTCCGACAATCGCCCGTTTTTTTCCCCCAGATCTCCAATTGAAAGAAACGAAAGTGAAGTGAAAGTAAAGGACTTCCGTCAAGGACAGGTCAAAGAGGCGAAAAGAGAAAAAGACTAACTTGTGGCCAGTGTAGCGATGAGTACCAGTACTCTCATTTTGGGCATTGCTACTAAGAAAACAGGGGTGTAGCAATAAAAAGCCTGGCGGTTACAAACACGGAGTTCAGAGAGATGCCCGCTGAAGACACGGGGGTGGAGAGGGCGGGTGAAGCTCCCCCCTCAGTCTCTCTTTGCCGGCTCTGACCTACTTCACCCTCGTCTCTCCTCAAAATCCAGCCTCTTTAGCTAGCCGAAGATTTTCGATATCTGGTTTTGTCTTTCTTCTTCAAGGGATCACACTCACTCCTTCATACCAGAGACCGGTTGACCCTACCGCCCATAAGGGATACACCCACAATTGCGCAACTGTCTTAGCTTTCTTCTTTTTAGCTTTCTTTTCGAAGTCGAGAAGCTTTAACTGGTAAACCGGCTTTAACTGGTAAAGCTTTGCAAACATCTCTTTGTACTTAGCAAAAGATCGGTATTTGTTTGACATGGGAAACTGGTAGTAAGAAAAGAAATGGCGTCCGATGTTTGGATAAGATGAAGGAAATCATCCTAATCGTTTCATGCGTTTTGGTTTAGAATCTTTGAAAATGTTTGAAAATGTTTTTTCATTCAAAAACAAAGTTTTTCCTTGATCAGTTTCGAATATTATGAGCCTAAAAGCTCTTATTTATCTCTTATTTATTTCAAGTTTCAAGTTTAGTTCAAGTTCTTATCATGAGATTTTTGATTTTTCTGATTTCAGCGCAAGATCAACTTTTTAAATAGGCATTTTTGAGTAAAACTGACCTCTAATTCTGACTCTCCATGTATTTTTCGTCTAAAAAAGTATTTTTCGAAAAGATTAGGCTTAGCGCGCGCACATACACTACAGGACAATGAAATATGATATTTGAAAAATGATCGTCACTTTCGCGCGTCTGTAACTCCCTTGTCTTTACCGTATTTCTAAATATTAATATTACCATTGTGTAGCCCTTGAAAAGAGCTTTCAGAAAATGTATAACACTAATAGTTTAAACTCAAAGACAAGGGAGTGACAGACGCGCGAAAGTAATGATCTTTTTTTCAAATATCATATTTCATTGTCCAGTACTGTAGCTACTCAAAAAAAGTTCGAAAAGGCTATTTTTGACCGTTTTTGACCGTTTTTAGTCCTTTTTGGTCCTTTTTGACCTTTTTTTGAACTCTTTTAAGGAGTTGTGTGCTCGCTAAGAGCTTTTTAAGCTCATAATATTAGAAACTGATCAAGGTACAACTTTGCTTAGTCGATATCTCACAAAGAGAAAAAATACCATCGTCTACCATCGTCTAAATGATTTTAAGCCCTACTGTATGTTGCAGTAATAAAAATGGAGAGCTGAGCCCGGGCCATAATGACGCGGGAAATAGTTTCCCTTCCTGTCCCTTTATCATGCCATCATCTCGCGGGAAAGTTCCCTCGGCAAAAGTTTCCCGCGGGAAAGATAATGGCGTAAGAGATTTCCCCGTCGGAAAAGTTTCCTGCAGGTTTCCCGCAGTAGGTTTGCAGTTTGCGCTGGAAATTTTTCCATTATACAATTTCCCGCGGGAGAGTCAGCGGGAAATCTGATTTCCTTCGGGAAAGATGATGGTCAGCGGGAAATTTTTGGATTTCCCGCGGCTGTTTTCGGCGACATTATGGCACCCGAGAAAGCATTTCCCGCTGGATTTTCCCACGGGAAATGTTTTCCGCGACATTATGGTCCGGGCTCTGTATTGAGTGCATCAGAGAGGGTGCGTTTATTTGAGCAGAAAGTACACCTTGTCAGCAGTCGTACCAAGAGACGATTTATAAGTACAGTCGACGCTCGATTAAACGATTCGCTTCGGACGAAAATCCTGTTGATATCGTTGCCGCTTTATCGTTTACAACTGGGATTATACAGGTTGGCTGGGCAGCTACGGAGCTGGCTGGGCAACTACGGAGCTGGCTGGGCAGCTACGGAGTGCAGAGAATGAGAATGGCAATGACAAGAATGCTAGTCCAGTCGACGCTCGATTAAACGATTCGCTTCGGACGAAAAGTTTCGATTTAACGATTCTAAAACGTGTCCCAAATTTGTGTAGCTGCCCAGAACGGGTAACGATTGCGTTTGGGTAGGCAGCTACGCAGAAAACAAGAGGATGCTTAAGAATTTCAAAATCGTTGTATCGAGAGTCGACTGGAACTTCAAATTTTAGCATAACTTTGGAAACGATTGTTAACTAACAATAAGTGATTGTAAGCTATTTAAGTGCAACAAGGGTGAATTTCCAGTGATTTCTCTAGAAACCAGTAGCCCAACGTTTTACCGTAATATCTGTAAGGATTACAGTACAATTTATGTATCAATTACAAATTAAATTGTACTGTATGGATCACAGTCCAATTTTTGTCTCAATTCTAAACCCCATCACCAGCTTCAGTGACTTAAATCATAGATTTCAAACATTTCTCCCAAGTCTCCAATTCCCAAATTTCAATCCTTGATTACAAGCTGTATGTAGTGCTTATTGTTGGTTTAGATATAATCTTTATTACAGCGATAATAGTTGGTTCAGTGGTTTGAGATTGGGAGAGTAGAGGCACTCCACGGCACACATCGGCAGCTCGTTCACATTGCTTTTATACGGAACTCGGGCGTTCGTCTCGTCTTCCACACAATGGAGTTGAACGGATAGCGATTAAATCTCGCACAATAGGCGTTCGTCCCCATAGGTGTCTAGCTGGCCATTTCCATACGTGGCAATCTCGATCACGAGATCGTTACGACACTGTATTTCATAATCGCTCAAGAAGGTCACTCTGGTGGAATCATGGAAATCATGGTAGAGAAATGGCTCATGATCTCTTTGCTCTCTTTTTTCATGATCATGATCTCTTTTCATCATCTCTTTTTCCAATTCACGCAATCAATCATCGAATCTGGCTCTCCTCAATATGCAAATCTAATAGTGAGAAATTCCTTTCTTGATTCGATCTGCCAAATCGCCAAGAAAAGCCACGAGAAATTTGACATTGGCTATTCAAATGGTATGCGATAAATCCTGTTTGTTTAGGATGGCGTGAGGCACAGTTGCTGGGGAATGTGAAAGGCGCTTTTTTTCTTGAAATACTTCAAAAATTTAGAGCTAGTGCACGAAACTATTTATGGACAGTCGTGCTTTGGAATTGTTTATGATATTTCAGAGCAATGTTGTGTGGTTTGAGCAATGCTACTATTGCACAACAACTCTAGAATGTAAGAATGCACAACAACTCTAGAATGTAAGAATGCACAACAACTCAACTCTAGAATGCTTTGGAAACTTTGCAACCAGCTGGCTATATTGAATTGTTGTATACAGATGTAAAAACTAGATCTACAGTGTGTGGATAGGTATGTTTGAGGTTTGAGGTTTGAGGTTTGAGGTTTGAGGTTTGAGATTTGAGGTTTGAGTATTGAGGTTTGAGATTTGAGGTTTCTGTAGCCGGGCACGAAACCATTAATCTAGCCGATTAATCTAGCTCTGACGAGCTTCGAACTCTGACGAAGATACAGATCTCTAGATTAAGATACAGGACTCTTAGCCAGTGGGCTAGTCGGCCATATTTCTATCATCCAATTTTTGTCTATTTCAAGCGTACCAGGTAAACCATACCCATTCACTGAAATCTCGAAACCAGTCAGCCTCTTCCCCAATCAAAATCTCGAAGTTTGCATTTTAATGCCATGCTCAATGGAACTTGTTTCACACTGTGAAGGCATAAAATTTCAAGAAATTTCAAGAAAATTCTAAAATTCTTTGATAAAAGGCGGCCGCCTGCCGAGAGAAAGCCTTTCAAGGGTAGATATACGAGCATGGCAAGAGAGTCGTCTATCAATGGATAGGGATGAATGAGATGAAGGAGAATGAATGGATGGATGGATGGAGAGATCTCGTTTTATCTTCTCTCCACATCTGACAGTCAGAAAAAAAAGGAGGGGAAATACCGTTGAAAAGATGAACCGGATCCTTTCATCGCTCGATTTTTCTCTTTTTTTTGTGTGATGGTCAGTCATTTCGAGGGTGTCCGCTGCTCATAAACGCTCGAGCAGACGGCACTTCCAAAAAAGCATGGTAAAAAAGGGTGGAGTGTTGAAAATTTATTGAAAACATGAATTGAAATTAGTCGCAAGGTACAGTAAATTACACATTGATTTACCAATTACAAAATCTTCTTTACAAAATTGCTTTGAAAAACGATCAAGACAAAACGAGAGTGTGTTCCTCTCAATTAAAGATTTTGCTAAAAAGTGCGCTAGAGGTTACCGTACTCCGGCTACTCTAGCATACTTTAGAAACACTTTAATCAAGAGTTACACATCAAGAGAAAATGACACATAAATGCTTAAAGCTCAATTGTTAATCAGGATCCTCAATCTCACGATACTTGTAATTCTCGGGTTTAGTCCTTGGAGTTGTCTCTCTATAAAAATTGTTGAAAGCTTGGAAGGCTTTCTCCACTGTTTTCTCCACTTCCCGTACTTGTCCTCGACCTGGCCCATCTGGGCCACGAAGATCTCGACGCCCTATTTCGGACAATTTCAGTATTCCACACAAGTACTCGATTCCAATGATTGCATCTCGACCAAGTGGGATGCTCGTGTTACCGATCTGAATAGAGCTTTATGTTGAAGATACAGGGTGACTCATAATTATACTTATTACCGTATTCTCTCTAATAGTAGTGTACTCTCTAATAGTATTGCGGTCCAGGAGGGGGTTCAAAAAATAGTAGTGCGCACGACTATTAGAGAGAATACGGTATCTCTTATTATTAACTATCTCGATCTCCTCAAAGCTGAAATTTTTCAAAAATCAAATTTGGACATTCAAACAAGGACCACAAAAGCAAAAAGTCCAAGATTTTTGAAAGGTGAAGTTTCCCAATTTCATTTCTGAATGGTCACCCAGCTCGCCGGATCTCAATCCGATGAATTATTCTGCCTGATCGGTCCTTGAGGCAAAAGTCTACTTAAAATTGTTGAAAATTTGAAGAAAAGTCTTCTAAAAGCCTAGGATGATGTCGAAGATGCTTACTTGGCCGCCATTTCACATCTTTTCTAAACGCTTGACAGCGTGCTTGGCTAAAAATGGTGATCGCTTTGAATTTAATTGCTAATTTGTTGTTCATTAATATCAAATAAAGATTTTAAAACAAAAATTTCCTCTCTAAAGTTTGATTTTCTCTTCCTACAAAGCTTTTTATTACTTTGCTTTTGCTTGCTTTTGCTTTTTGCTTTTTATTTGCTATCTGCTATCCATCTGCTATCTGCTTTTTATCTGCTATAATTATCCACTCTGTCAAATAATTTTCAGTCTTTTGTCGGTTACCTGCAAAGTCGGTTTTTGCTGACGACTCGGATCCATAGGAGCATCGTTTTTCCCACTATTTTGCATTGGTTGATAGCCGCCTAATGCAAGGCTATCGGGGAGCGGTGGAGGAGTGTATTCGGGAAACTTCAAGATGCCACTTTCCGGTGGCAATGTCAGGGCGAGGCCTTCAAAGGGAACGGGAGGCGAAATAACGTTTCCACTCCGATCTAGAATCTACAAACAGAAGTTTGGATTTCATTTCACCCTGACACTTACCTTTTTCAGCCAAGTGCTCAAATTGGAGAGTAGTTCTTTTGAGTCCCAACAATTAAGGAGGATTTGATCCCAACATCTAAAGTTTGATTTTGAACCTCAGCAATTCAGACGTTGGAATTTAGATGTTGGAATTTAGATGTTGGAATTGAGATGTTGGAATTGAGATGTTGGAATTGAGATGTTGGAATTGAGATGTTGGAATTTAGATGTTGGAATTGTGATGTTGGAATTTAGATGTTGGAACTTAGATGTTGGAATTGAGATGTTTCATTGTTAAACCCCCACCTCCTAATCATAGCCTTTAGCACCTCGTTGCAACCAGTCAATTTTGGACGTGTGTAACAAGAAGCAATTTGGATTTGGTCCTCCGTTTCATATTCGAAGAAAGGTTTTCTAAAAGGAAATAAATGATGAATTTGACTTACATTCTGTAAAAAAAATTACTGTCTATAGTTGAGCTGCCAGAGGATGAGCCCCAGCGCGTAAACATCGTTACTCGCATGCGTTCTTCCCGCTACTCCACGCTTAAATTACCAAATACTAGATTCTACAGAAGTCTTTATCTCATAAAGTTCACTTACATCTGGAGCTTTGTATCTTTTTGTGTAAAATACGCTATCAGTTGAGATCCCGTGCGGGCGAGTACTTCCAAGATCCGCTAATTTCACTGTCCGGTAGTTATCCGCCATCAGAACACTGGAAAAATTGCAAAAGCATTGTCTTTTTTTAACTATAAGTACAGTATGCTGATATAAAACTTCTCTCTTACTTATCAGGCTTTAAATCATTGTGCACCAGTCCTTTCTCATGAAGATAAACCAAAGCTGTGGTCAGCTGGGTAGCCCACAAGAGAATGTGACGTTGATCATAGATTAGGTGATGGATAATCCCTTTCTCTTTTTTTCCCATGATAACTAAATGTTAAGTTTAAAGTAAATGAACAAAGTAAGTGAGTAAATGAACAAAGTAAGTGAGTAAATGAACAAAGTAAGTGAGTAAATGAACAGAAGCTTAAACCCAGTCCGACCTACCATTTTCGAGAGATCCTTCGTCATGGTATTCAAAAACGATTGCGTCATATGCGTCAGAATGCTCGGATTTTACCGTGCCAAGCATCTATAAAAAGTACGAATGTAAAACTAGTAGTCTAGTAGTGTAATTAAGTCTGTAGAACAGCACTAGATACCGTGCTTCTAATAGAAGCCGAGCTAAAAAATTTATGCATTATTTATTTTGAGTTTTCGCAGCAATTAGTAAAGCAAATCCAATTTGTTTTTGTTTCTATAGATTTGCCTATGGAATGCGTGTGTTCTGACAAAGTTTCAGAAATTTTCGTTAAAAACTCGCAATTTTGTGCAACTTTTTCTCTCAGGGCGGGGCTTCAACAGTTCAATGCTGCTTCAACAGTTCAATGCTGCTTCTATGCTGCTTCAACAGTTCAATGCTGCTTCAACAGTTCAATGCTGCTTCTATTAGAGGCAAGTAGGGCAAGTAGGGGTTATTTTCACTAGAAATCAATACATAAATGTCTTTAAAGTTATCTGTTTTTATCCAGAAAATCTACTAAAAGTGCTGCTTTTACCTTGACAATATTCGAATGTTGACAATCCCTCAAAAATTGCACTTCTTTTTGAGAAACCCGATGGAGAAGCTCAAGTTTGACGAATCTTCTTGGCCGCAGGTCTTTGACAGCCACTGTTTCACTAGAAAGAACTTTAAAATTTACAGAAATGTAAAATAATTTTAGTGTCGAAGTGGGATAAAAGCTTCCATTTCCTGTATCTCTAAGATTATTGGGAGTAATGTTTTGTAATTCTTTGAAAAGGTAACTTAGCAAAGCAAACTTAGAAAAGGTAACTTAGAAAAGGTAGGGCTCTACCCTTATATGCACCTTAGCAAATATTATTCACTAACTTGTCAATTGTTCTCTTTTTGTAGACAACACCCATTCCACCCTGGCCAAGTATCGTTGAAAATTCCTCGACGAAATCCCGAGCTTCATATTCTTTGAACGTTGAAATAATCGTAGCTTGTGACGCTTCCAAGCTTTCCATTCCAGCAATAAGTGTGAAAATTGACGAAACTTCCAAAGTTATGACTTCCTTATCTTTCAGTTGAAAATGCGCCACGTTTTTCTTTCTTTTTTTTTTAATTTTTCACGTATCAATAATTTTTGCGCAAGAAAATTGAAGCGATTATTCAGAAAAAGAGTAAACAACTTTGTGCAGTGATAGTCGCTTTTAAAAATTCTCAAATAACGTTTGAGAATTTGAACACAAAATTGCGGGAGTGGGACAAATGCGACCTTTTTTTCCGCACTTAGCTCATTAGCGCACCTTTTTCCGCGTTTTAAAAAAGCTCTTAAAAGCTAATATTAACCAATTTCTATTCCAAAAGTTGTTTTTCTAGGTAATTTTAGGGCGTAGAATCGAAATTTTGGCATATCAGAGCTTGTGGAAGCGAACGGACGCAGTTATACAAAAAGAAAAATCAACAATTTTCTGTAATTTGACCTAGCCGTTTTGTCTTTCAAATTGGTTCCACACGCTCTGTTATGTCAAAATTTGAATTCGACACCCTCAAATTACCTAGAAAAACAAACTTTTGGAATAGAAATTGGTTAATATTAGCTTTTAGAGCTTTTTAAAACGCGAAAAAAGGTGCGCTAATGGGCTAAGTGCGGAAAAAAAGGTGCGCAAATGTCCGGGTGCGCAAAAAAAAAAGGTCGCATTTGTCCCACTCCCCAAAATTGCTGTGAAAAAATCGTGGAGTTGGGGCAAAAATGATTTACATGCTTGCTAAAAGATTGCTAAAAGATGGCAAAATTATATCGTAGGCATTTTCGACAAAGAATATTCAGTTAACACTATAAAACAAGCAATTTGTGCTAAATTTTTCACTTTTAAAATTTTGTCCAGTGTAGGCGAATTTCCCTAATTTTTTTTGCGCAACTCGCAACAACTTTCTTCTAAGTGGGCCAATCTTCAGGATTTTGGTTTCATTTTGTTGCACTTATTGAGATCTACAAAATGAAACCAATTGGTCCCAATGAAACCAATAAAGATTGGTCCACTTAGAAGAAAGTTATTGCGAGTTGCGAAAAAGATTCAGTTGCAGCAATTGGCCTACCCCATTTTCTCCTGTTCTGTCGAACGTCTTTTTTGGGGAGAACCCAAAAACCGCAAATTTTTTTCCGCGCCTTTTTATAACTCGACTTAACTCAATAACCTATGGCCGGATTCTTATGTTTTGATACCAATTTGTTGCACTTGACGGGAGCAACAAAATGGTACCAAAAACATACAAATCTAACCACGGGTAGTCAAGATATCAAAAGTTGGAAAAAATTTTGCGGAAATGCCCCTTTGCGGAAGAAAATTTGTGGTTTTTGGGGCCGTCCCCTTTTTTGTGTCTAATCGCCTATTTTTTTGAAAGCGCAGTTTATTTTGAACAAAACGTCGTTCAACCGTTTCTCTATCAACTTGAAGATTAGTTTACATCAAATTTTAAAAACCCTTTGCTAAAAGTTTGTGGGCTCAAAGATTTTTGGATGCGATTTGTTTTTATCGACAATACACTTCAGGGACGTAGTGACTCCATAGGTTACAATTTCCCCTTTTTGAATCATTTGTCTTTGTTTCAATCTTGTTTCTAACCGTAAAAGAACTTTAATTTTAGGTTCTCTCAACTAATTTCTTGTTCATCGATAAATTTTGTAGTAATCAATGCTCAACGATTGCAAGCCCGAAGATATCATCGATGATAAGGTACATTTTGTGATTATTTCTTAGTTTCAGTAGTTTTATAAGAAACTTTTGTCGTTTATTTCCCAAAAACTAAAAGTCATTAAAAGAATATATCGTAAATGGAGTACAAGTACGGGAAAGCTCTACCTATCTAACAATTTTAAGGTGTTGCCGTTAAATGATCTAGTTAAGGTCCCTTGCAAAATGTGGTATCTTTGTTTTTAGGATTCGACGACTCCGCCATTTACCCGGGAAGGGCTCATTCAAATCATCAACGAGGTCTTTGAGCGAAACATCGGCCACACGACCTATGACGTCGAGAAATCGGAGTCGTGGAATACCAAATGTGTTGAAGGTACGATTTTGGTCCGGTAGATTAGCAGCAACGTGTTTTGGCAAGAATACGGGGATAATAAAAATTGTTAATTGTTTCATGTTTTTGGCAGTAGCAACTTGTTATTACTTGTGAACGGTAATGTGAGCATTGCTAGTTAGTAGTTCAATGTGTTTTCAATTATAAATTCCTGTTGCACAATTCTTTTTCCTTTTTAGAGATCACCTACGAATTGGTCAAGCATCAAGGGCCCTACAAGTACATCGTGGCCTCGGCACTCTTGCAAACTGGCAATGGATCGGGCCTCAATGTCTCGAGTGCGTTTTTCGAGTTTAAGCAATAAGTTATTAAGTTGTGCGCATTGTCTGCTGGATAAAAAAATTTTTCTTTTTAGCGGTGTCATTCTGGAATAAAAAAACTGACGTCTCGTACTCGCATCGTTGGGAGGGAAAACATGTGCTCGCCATCATCAACGTTTTTGCAGTCGCCTATTAAAGTCGGTTTTGTTAACGCAATGTGCTATTGCAAGTTCTTCGGTTCAGTTTTTTAAGTTCACTGCAATGTAGTGAGACCATACTTTATTCAAAGATCTCTATAGTTTAAATCAGAATGCATCTAAACATTTTACTTGCTCGCATTTAAGTTTTATATATTAACATTTCTTTAACATGATTCTTTTAGGTGTTCATCTCTTCAAGACGTATCGTTCCTATGGGTCAACTACTTCAATTCATCACCACGACACGCTGCATATAAACGATCAATTCGGTACTTTTTATTTGTCTTTATGTTCTCCCAAATTTTGATTGCTTCAAATTAATCGTGTTTGTGTTTTGTTTAAAGTGTGTGCCCATTCTATTTATACAATTTGTCGATTGCGAACTAAACAAAAACTTTCAATGAATCATTTAAAATTTATTGCAGCTTAACTTTTTCCTTGAATGCCATCTCAAAACAAGACCAATAGTACCAGGAAAGGATGAACCGAATGAAAAGGAATAGAGCTAAAAAGAAAAGGAAGCTAGCGAGAATGACGTCTAAAGAGTAGATTTCAAAAGTGTTTAAGTCTGGGAGATCTAGAAAGATGTCTGTGTTGGTGATAACATCAACCCAATACAATAGCTCCGCTTCGGCCTTATTCGGTTTACTCAAAATAATGTGTTGGAGGCCAAGTGCTCGTTCTTTGAAACTAAAAGGGTTTTGAATAATTGTTCAGCAAGATCATTTACCTCTTTTCTGTGGTGATCTCTACAAAAGCTTGCTCGAGTCTTTCAAAAGAAAACTCTTCTTTAGGTATGTGGACAGTTGTGCCATGTTTCTTGAATAGATGTGCATTTCTATAATATACGTTATGCTCTCTATAATCTATAATATAAGTCTATAAGCTATGCTTAATGAATCTTTAGATTGTATCACCTAGCCTGATCTCCGAAGCTGAATAGAGGAATGGCGATCGTGGGGATTCCATGTTGAACAGCTTCCATTAAACTGTTGTAGCCAGCGTGTGTGATTAGGAGGATGGATTTGTTGTTGGCTAAATTTTGAGTTAGGGATTAACTTGATCTGCTTCTTGAAGCTTTCCAAAGAAGGCAAGGCTAAATTGAACTTCACGCTCCAAAAGGTTAAAACAAAAAGTCGAATTTTTTTAGTTTCACAATTTTTTCCCTCATTATTTTTGTGTTTTTTTGTGCATAACTAAGCATAGTAAAGCATAAAAACTGGTTTTGAATGTATTTTGGCTCTGGACCGTAAAGTTCAATTTAGCCGAAGGCAAAACTCTGTTTTTGCCCAAAGCTTCTCTCGTTGACGTAAGATTCATAAATATTCGTAAGATCCTTTCCTAGTTGTGCCTAGTTGAAAGCCTACCTACCGTAAATACTATAATAGTACCCCAGTATGACCATAATGACGGTGCGAAGCGTTGCGTAGCTCTAGCTTTGAACGAGTTTTTCTCAACACTGGTTTATGCTACAATGTTCGTTTGCGTATCAAAAAAATAGCTGAGATTCAGGGCTATTTTTTTGATACCAAAGACACATTTTTTGATAGTACGGGTGCTTGGCAAAAAATGAAATACTAAAAAACTTTTGCGACTACGCGACTGTACGAGGGCGGTGGGGTACTATTACAGTATTTACGGTAGGTGCAGCTCTGGTTTACCTAGCAATGAGTCTTGCGGTATCCACGAGGCTCGAAAAGCATTCGGGGGCAAAACTAGATTTTCTTCACAACTCCATACGAAACGAATCTTTGGATGGTTTCTGAATTTTTAAACTTGATTTCCAACAAGACTTTCTACTTGAAAAGTTGAATGAGCGCATCTTTCCAGAATTTCGGCATATGCTTTGCAACCGTCCATGAGCCGAATGAAATGACAACAACTTTTTCGGCATCGGTGATGAAGTTTTCGAATTCCTGTAAAATGGCTAGATTCAATACCAAATTTGGGCACCAACTTTTGGTAATTCCTTTGTTTCCTTTCTCGTCCCCAAACCGCCGATGTAAACAACTTTTCTGGTTGTTGGGATGGGGAATTCGATGATTGGATCACCGCTGAGCATCACGAGATTCGCCTAATAGTTTTGCATGAATGAAATATGAGCTCTTGTCACTGTTTTGGGAAAATCAATGAGATTTGTGATGTGATTGCCGAGAAGTCTTCTCGCGAGTTCCGTTTGTCCGTCGGCTTGTTTTGAGAGTCGGAGATGACCGTTCAAGAACTCGACAAAGTGGTTGAGGGATCTTTGCAAGAAGCTCATTTCGTTTCCGGTTTGAAGCACATACGCTGAATTGGGTTGATTTCAAAAAAGCTTAAATATCAAATGCTTTTCTCGACTTTAGATGGATGTATTGGGTTGGTGAATTGAAAACTGCCGGTTATTGTCATATGTGACAGTTTGAGCACTTTCTTCAAAAGAAACCCATTTTGGTGTCAATGGAAAAGTTGTAGAGAATCAAAAATCAAGCTTATATCCAAATTTTCAGAACGATTCCAAAAACGGGTTTCCAAGAAATCCGAAATTTACGCCAAAATTACGAATTTTCACAAAACTTGCATTTTCAGCGACACTACTAAGTATATCTTTTTGGAAATTTGGCTATAAGCCTAATTTTTGATTCTCTACAACTTTTCTATTGACACCAAAATGGGTTTCTTTTGAAGAAAGTGCTCAAACTGGGATCTCCAGTCTCCAGTTCTCCATTTTTGAGTCTCACACTTGTCTCACACACAAACCAAAATCCTACTACGAAAGAGGAATCAAATTGCCTGTAAAATGGGCAGAAGTCGTCAATAATAATGGAAATTATTTGGAATGAATTTATGGTTTTATGTTGAATAAATTTTAGCTCAAAGTCCGGCAGTTTTCAATTCACCAACCTAATAATTGTAAGATTTACGCTAATTGTAAGATTAGGATTTAAAAACAGCCATAAATATCTAATAAACTTACCGTAAGACAAAGCAGACAACATTTCTCGTTGAATCTTTTAGTTTTAAATTTTAGTTCAAAGTCCCGCAGTTTTCAAGTCACCAACCCAATAATTATACTTTCAAAGTGTTCCTTTAAACTCTAGTTGAATATCTTTTAATTTTATGTAAAAATTCAAACAAATAGGGCAGCTATGAAAGCTACGAAGCGCTTTTTTTTCTGCGTAGCTTTTTCGTAGCTATCCCTTTTTTAGAAATTCCCCACGAAACTAGAAGTTATTCAGCTGAGCGGGTAATGGGGACACTTTGAAAGTATAATGGTAATTTGCTCACTTACATGGCAGCACACTTGTCGGAACGAATTGTCCGGCCGAATTGAGTAGTGCGGGATACGGTGGCAAGCTCGAGAAATAAATCCATTTACCAAAAATTCGATTTTTAGTCCGACTTTTAAAAGCAAAAACTCACTAATGTTCAAGTGTTGAATCAACGCCATTTGACAAAAGTCCATGTGATGATGGAAAGCCAAGTCGATTTTTTCCTCTTTCAAATGTTTGATCAAAGCTTGATCACTGAGGGTGTCTGAGAATCAATGATTAGGGAAGTGCAACAGGTCAAGATGGCCTTCTGTAATGAGACTCAGCTCATCTTACGCAGTTTTTCATGGAGATTCCGAATGTGCTTTCAAAATTGGCAAAACAACTTTCTGGCAAAAGTTATGAGCATTTGAAGTTTCGAGTTGCCTATAAAGCCTATAAAGTCCCTTTTACTCTGGAGAAGAAAGTATGCTGGTGGCGTAGTAGAGCCTTACTTTAAAGATGGCATATACAATACTTGCTCGAGCTCGATCCCTCTTGCAAAAAAAAAACTTCTTGCCTCAGCCCGAAACTTTAAATGCTCATAACTTTTGCCAGAAAGCTGTTTTGCCGATTTTGAAAGCAGATTCGAAATCTTCATGAAAAACTGCGTCGGATGAGCTAGGTCTCGTCGGATGAGCTAGGGTTACAGAAGGCCATCTTGACCTTTTTCGACGCCTCTTAAACTTTCTGCCTTTCTATAACTCTTTGGAATTTTTATTAATTGCTTATCCTTGAAATGCTTAAAATGATGGAATGCCATAAAAAGTTGGCTTTAATTATCAAAAAGGTTTTATTAATATAAGAGGAGAAACAAGAAACTTTGAAATGAGGAGAATCGAACCAGGATAAAAGAGAATCCCAAAAATCTCAATCCCAAAAAGCACTATCCCCTCGGCCACGCAGCTACGGTTTAAGAGATGGCGTGGAGGCCTCAAATAGAGGTCAAAAATGCAACCAAAACTTGTAAGCCAGTTATCTTGCGTTACAGGCTTCAAGGGCAGAAACTAACGGCAGATTCGAACTTGAATTGAAATTCGAAATTTTGGAATTCGAATGTGGCCGATTCTATAATATGGATTTGATCTCGTTCCACGGCCACGTCAAGGCCACGGCCACGTCAAGGCCACGGCCACGTCAAGGCCACGGCCACGTCAAGGCCACGGCCACGTCAAGGCCACGGCCACGTCAAGGCCACGGGCACGTCAAGGCCACGGGCACGTCAAGGCCACGGGCACGTCAAGGCCACGGGCACGTCAAGGCCACGGGCACGTCAAGGCCACGGGCACGTCAAGGCCACGTCAAGTGCTTTCCTTTCCCTAGTCAGTGCGATTACTGTAGCTTTTGCTAGCGTACAACTTTACAAAGCCCAATAACCTTTATAACTCTACTTAAGACTGCTCAATAGCTCTACTTACAATTGCTCAATAGCTCTACTTACTATTGCAGATGTGCATACTGAGATCGAAAAACGTTGATGACATCTCGAAGCCTTCAAAAATCGAAGAATTCCGGAACATGTGCCTAAATTTGTTAAATTGTTTTACAGAATTTGTGGCACTTACTTGATTTTGACGTCTTCAAACGGGCGATAGATTTCATAATCATATCCATTGTTGGGCGTGAATGTTTTGATTTGGGCATGGATCAGTGATTCGACGGTGAGTTTCGAGTTGACAACGGGTCGCACGAGTAGTACTTCATGGCCTCCATCAGCTAGGGCAATGGCAAGTTTGTTGTTGAAAATTGCCTAAATACAGTGGACAAGGTTTTGATTGGAAAAATAGAGAAAATTTGCAATTTCACTAATTTGTGCAATTTCTTGGTGCTTTTATAATAGACTTGGCTTTTAGACTACCAGAATAGACTTTTGGACTATCAGAATAGACTTTTGGACTATCAGAATAGTCTTTAGACTATCAGAATAGTCTTTAGACTATCAGAATAGACTTTAGACTATCAGAATAGGCTTTTGGACTATCAGAACAGACTTTTGGACCATCAGAATAGTCTTTATTTGAAAATTTGAAAATTTGAAAATACATTTATTGAAAACCAATAATGTGATACAAACAAAGGGTACATAATAAGACATAAAGGTTAAACACACAATTTTATGGCACTGCGGCCGTTCTCACCCCTATTTACCCCTATTACCCAAATGTTGTGAAAGAAAAAACCCACTTGGTGGGAAAAAGAAACATTTTTATCTTGCCAGAGTGATTGAACCCTCGACCTTCCGCTTAAGAGACAAGACTATCAGAATAGTCTTTCGACTATCAGAATAGTCTTTAGACTATCAGAATAGTCTTTAGATTATCAGAATAGTCTTTAGATTATCAGAATATACTTTAGACTATCAGAATAGACTTTTAGACTATCAGAATAGACTTTAGACTATCAGAATAGACTTTAGACTAGCAGAATAGTCTTTAGACTATCAGAATAATCTTCAGAATAGACTTTTATAAAAACAAACTTTCATAAAAACAAACTTTCATCATTTATCTTTCATTTTAGATCAATTCTCTAGAATTTCCAGCGCTCTAGAACCCAATTTTTCAGCTTCTTTACCCAACCTGACTGTTTGAGTGCTCAAATGTAAAAATCGCAATTTTAGAAGCAGAAATAGCATTGATTACAAAGCATAGCAATATCCAAAATCGCATAGTAAAGCCGGAAAAAGCAGGAATGGCTTTTCTTATCTCTTTTTCGGACTTCGGAATTGGAGATTTCTTTGCAATTCTTTTTTTTTAAGAATTGAGCGATATCTCGAATTTTTGCCGACATTTTGATGATTCATCAAAAGCTTTTTTTTTGCTAAGCGTCTGCTTCTCAAAAGTGTCCGCATCACCATCAAAAGTCGGCCCATTCTCAAGTTGGATGGGAAATTCATGGTGATCGGAAAATGCTGATCGACTTATCCATAGAGTTTGAATCGTAAAAACGAAGTTAAGAATCGAGATGAAGTTAAGAATAGCTTTGTTAAAATATTAGGTGTGTGAAAAAGTAATCCACGTTTTTAACGTTTATGCGGTATCCATTTGTCCAACTTTTTGATAAAATTCATGGCATTCAAGCGTTTCCTTACGGTTGACCCATCACAATTTTATGTAAGGCCTATTTCTGAAGAGGTTGAACGAGGGTTTTCGAGAAGACAGCGTCTAATTTGGTCATCAGAACAGGTCTCAGGGCGACCGCCACGTGGTTCATCTTCTAGGCTTTCATTACCACCATTGAATCGTCGGAACCAAAACCTAGCGGTATCATCAATAACCGCGTCTTCGCCAAACGCATTCCGAATTCGACGTGCAGCCTCCGCAGCTTTCAACCCATTTTTGAACTCATAAAGCAAATTTGACCGAATAACGATACTTGTGTATACCATTTTCAAACTAAAATGAAAGTAGTTTATTGTCGTCCTTTTAACAAAATAAATATATCATTCGAAAGAGGAAAAAATAAGCTTTTAAACGATATATTAGGTTGATGCATAAGTGTTTTTGTTCCTTTTCGTCTGTCGTTTCAAGCCAACAAATGCACGAATTAAACTACGGTTGATTTCATTAGAAAAAGCAATTATTTTTCTGCAAAATAACATTAAAACGGGTTTAAAAATATTTAATGCCTGGATTTTCTTGAGAGTATGAAGTCGGGTAGTCAAAAGAGGGCTAACTCGATGATGCGGTTTAGACACCTTAGCTAAAGAAAACCTATCTTCGTGTCAATAGATAAAAGATAGAGAAAAAAAACGTTTGATATTTCGCCAAAATTTCAGAGAAATTCATTCAGCCAATTTTTCCGTAGAGTTTTTATAGATTTTTACGAAAAGGCGTTTTTCACTCTCGAATTTGCTTGAAAGTGAACCGAAATTCATTTAAAAAGATGCAAATTGAACAAAAAAAACACTTTTTTATAGAGCAAACTATAGATTAATTCGTGAATTTGTTACTTTTTTAACAGAAGTACGAAAAACGAAAAGACTTATGCATCAACCTATTATATCGTTAACAAAAAATTAGAAATTGTTTAGATATACACCCATGCACAAAAAAAATGTCACATCGTTTTTACAAAACTTTACGCCTAAATTTGATCTACTAAACGTGTTCCAAATTCTATGCTGTCAAAAGGTTTTGGATCAGCAAAAGCTCTTTGCTTGTGAAAAAGTGTTCAAGTTCCGCAATTTTTTTAAATTTTTATTTTTCAATAAATACCGGAAGAACACCAAGAACGGGTGCACAAAAAAATGTCACATTTTACTGAACCTCCCTTAGCTGGGCCTCCCTTAGCTTGAATAACTGCCTGAATCCTCCGTGGCATCGAATCAGTCAATCCTCCAAGATTTGAGGAGAAATTTTTCCGCCATTCGCTTCAGATGAAGTACCAAAGCTCAACCTTGGTCGCAATCGTTTGCCCCTCAGTTTACCCTTGATGTGCGACCACAAATGCTCGATTACGTTGAGATCCGGGCTGTAAGGTGGAGCAGCGACGAGTTTGACACGATTGTCAGCGAACCATCCCGTAAACGAGCCTTCCACCGTTTGAAAGTCGGCCGACCCTTCCCTATCAACATCTGGTGCTTGTGACACGGGCGTTATCCTTGTACAACAACCATCCTTGTCCCCATATTCGTGGTCGCAAATGGAAGAAGATCATTCTCCAGGATCGTCTTGTACCGCTGGGCCTTCAAGATTGAGTTGGAAAGACGAGCGGACCTGGTGAACTTAAGTTATCGCTCCTGAAAAAGCAGATTAGTTGACATAAGGGAACAAGTCTTTTACCCCATAGCATAATCGATCCGCCACCAAATTTGACTGTCGGCCGCAAGTATTTGATGTTATGGCGTTGTCCAACTGGTCTCCGGATTATGCTATGGGGTAAAAGACTTGTTCCCTTATGTCAACTAATCTTGCTTTTTTTCAGGAGCGATAACTAAGTACTTGGGTCCAAAAATCTTTTCAACTCAAAAGCCCAGCTTTATGGTTGGTAACACAGAATGCGCTCTCTGGGAACCGGCAACGGTCGCTTGGCTGTCGCTGGAATCCAAACTCCTCCCCAGCCCGGATCTGGGTCGAAGCGAATGGAGAAAGTCACTCCTCCGGAGGGAGGGACCCATTCCCGAGAGACCGTTCCAAAGCTAGAAAGCCCGGAATGGAAGGTTCGATTGCACGATAACTATTGAAGTGCAAACAAGTACTGAAATTTTACTACAAGAAAATAAAAACTTTATCCATCTAAAGCTGCACGACACAGCAAGGCTGAACAATTTGCTGATCAAGTCAGGCATCAAGAAAAAAAAAACGATGTGACATTTTTTTTGTGCATGGGTGTATTTATTTAAACAAAATAAAAATAAAAAACGTGGATTACTTTTTCACACACCTAATAGAATAACGTAAATTTAGGAATGTATCGAAAAATTTGAATCGACTTAGAATTAGTTTTAGTTTCGATTCTCAAAGTTCTCTCGATTCTCAAAGCAACAAAACAAATGAGTGCCCGTATTTCGTGTCGTTTATTGGATTTGATCCCTCAAATCAGCAACCAAAATTTTTAAGCGGAGAGAGCGATTTTTGGTGACGAATCAAAGTCGAGTCACGCACTAAAATGCGAAGATTTCTCATTGAAATCACCCGCCCTTTGCCCTTTATCACTGGCAAATAAAAAGACCAAAGCAAGTTCACCAAAAGCGCTTGTACAACATGTTCTTTCCACTGTTTATCGCTCTTGTTTTCCTTCAAGAAGGTATGTTGCTGAAAATTGATTTTAAATCATTTCAAGCTCAAATTATTTCAACTATTTTAGCTGAAAGCCTTGACAAATTGATTTCTTTGACAAAAATCGATGGCTCATATGCGATGTCCGGGTATCAGTTTCGAATGTATGAGGTGAGTTTTGGGGGGAGGGGGGTTTGTTGTGAAATGTTGCATGTTTGCAAAAATTGCTAAATATGAATAGTCGCCTAAAGATGCTATGAAAGCTATGAAAAAACAAAAACAAATGAACTACCCTAAAGTCTCGAGTATAAGTTGATCCGAGTATAAGTTCTGCCTTAATTTACATTCGCTTTAATTGCTTTGAATTTCTTTTTGTTGGGTTTTTATACATTTTTATTGTTATATAAACTTTTATTATTGTTCTTGGAGCGCGGGATACTACAGGGTGACAGCCTATCACCATTGCTATTTGTTATGTGCATGGATACATCCAGACGATAGTGTTGAAGAAGACGCTGGAAAGCATCTCTTTCGACCGTCGACGTGGACTTTGGCCGGATGAAGAGGCCAGGGAGGGCCATGAAGAGGCCAGGGAGGGCCATGAAGAGGCCAGGGAGGGCCATGAAGAGGCCAGGGAGGGATCCATAAGACTGAGCACTGGAGAGGAGCAGGGCGGACGCGCCGAGCCACGCCCGGAGCAACAAATAACAGCATAAAATTGCTATAACCCTCAATAAATTTACTTCTATTATTGTTCTTGTTAACTGTTAACTTAAAAAGCAAAAAAGTTATGCTGCAGCGGGGTTCGAACCCTCGACACACCGCACCGGAGACAGCCGTCAATTTGCATGCGAAAACCAAACAGAACTTATACTCGCGACTTTAGGGTACTATTGTAATCTTAAAAAAGTCGCTAGCCCCGAGTTGGGTTGATGGATTGAGAAATTGACACCAATTAATTTCAGCTGTTCTTATACTGATTCAGAAATTAAACCAGCAGAAAACCGAGGCATTGATTGTCTCCAAAAACAAAACGAATTCCAAACGCCAAACTCGAATTTGAGCCGGACAGATGTACACACAGTTGACCAGTTTTCCAACAATTGGCCTACTACTACTACTATTAATAGTTCAATTTCAAATTGAAACTAAAGCAATACTTGAGCCTCAAAAACTAGCTTCAAACTAGCTTCAAAACTAATTAACCCTTCACATAAAGCACCTCTAGAAAATCATCGTTGAAAACAAAGAGAATCCGAATGGGACAATTTACGTTTCATCCGCCACAATTCACACTCCAGCTAACGAGACCGATCCACAAGTCTGGATCACCGATGATGTCGGGAACTACTCGTAGGTTTTTTCTAAACAGTGAACTGATAAGAGCTTATAAAATCCTCAACTAAAGTTCAATATTTAGAGCGCTTCAAACTGGCAAACGCTTCTTTGGCCCGCGAGTAACATTGTCGCTTGGAGTGGATCGAAATCCCAACTTTGTCATTCATTTCATTCAAAGCGATGAAACGAATCGTTGGTTTACTTTCAAGCTATCAAAATTTGAGCCTGTGAAACTACAACAGAGTACAGACTACAATAAAGTACAGTAGGATACAGCACAGTAGAATACAGTACAGTACAGTACAATACAGTACTTAAAGAGCTACTGTACAGTGCACTTAAGACTTCTTATAGTACTTACAAAGTAACAGATCTTATATGAGATCTTATAGTAGCAGTTTCGTTTTTTTAGGCTGTGGAAAACTTCTATTAACAATAAGATAAAATTGTAGCTGATTCTATTCTTCAGGTAACGCAAATATCACCGTGGCTGATGCACTCACTTCGGTCGATGTGGATGGATTGACGTGGAATGTTGTGAGCTGTAAGTAAATGAGATCTTTGTCTTTTTTAAATCACTCAACAACACTGCTGAAAGTCTACAATTTACCTTTAGTATACAATTTACCATTTTCTTATACGTTTGTCTCAAATGAATTCACTCCAAACCCAACTCTTGAGTGCCAAGTGACGAATATGCCGGTGGGTTTTTAGTCAATGATAGAATGATAAGTGAAATTTTAATTCTGCTAGATTTAATCAAGCTTTAGATTAACAACTGCACCGTTGACATGTACCTCGGCGGACGTCCGAGCGAGGAGGGGAAAGAAAAATATCGATTAGCTAGTTTTACGTAAGAGATTTCAATTTAACGTTTCAATGTAACGTTGCAATTTAACGTTTCAATTTAACGTTTCAATTTAACTTTTCAATTTAACGTTTCAATGTAACGTTTCAATTTAACGTCTCAATTTAACGTTTCAATGTAACGTTTCAATGTAACGTTTCAATTTAACGTTTCAATGTAACGTTTCAATTTAACGTTTCAATGTAACGTCTCAATTTAACGTCTCAATGTAACGATAAAGGAATGAATGAAATTTCAGAAATGAAACAATTGGAAACTATCGAACGAGTTACGTTTACGGATACGCGGTCACATTTCTCGTCCCAGCCAATTGTAAGGCCGATTATGTGTGCCGAGGGAGAAGCTGTAAGTGGAAAATTGTGGCATCATAGGATAAGCTCTTTGCTGGAGTGCTTTACAGGAGATATCTAAATACACAGTAGTAAGGCTAATTGATTGAATGATTTTGACAGTTACCAAGTGCCTCAATTCAAAAAACAAAGCAAAAAAAGCATTGCCTCAATTCTAAACAAAGCTCAAACCACCGTAGATAAACATTTCAGTAAGCAAAAGTTATTCATTTATAATATAAAAGCACTTGCGACGTTTTTTCGAGAAAATTCTGGGTTGGCGCTTTAAAGCGTGGTAAAACTACCGTACCCCTCGAATAAAAGACAGCACGAAATCTCATTTTTTTTTGTTCATTTCATTTTATTCTTTTTGGGTTTTTCTGATTTGTTCTGGTTGTTTTTGCAGAAAACAAGAAGAATAAAGCTAATTTACGTTTTTAACAGTATTTTCTGTGGCGGAAACTTTATTTGTACAGGGTGCGGCAGAATTATAGGTGCATGACATAAAGACGGAAAACGAACCTTCGCTCTTGATTTTGCACTCGAATTTATGTTTTTGTTGTTATTTTATGATTGAATTTGTATTTGTAAATTATAATTTTTTATAACTTTGAGTTTCAGGCTATGGTTCGCGCTTCCCCGCATCGACAATTGATCGTGGAACTTCATCGGAAGGGCGAATCGGCGACCGTGATCGGAAGAAAGTTGGGAGTGCATCGAAACGTTGTTAACCGAGCCATTCAACGCTACAACGAGTTGGGATCAATGTCTGATCGTGTCTGATTTTTGTGGCAAATTTTTCGTTTTTTGGTCATATTCCAATGGAACTTCTCTGCACCTATAATTCTGCCGCACCCTGTAGAGTTTTTTTAAACCCACTTGCTTCCTGACGATCTACTCTACGGACTTGATGCAAACGAATGCTAAGTTAAGTGGTTTTTATCATTTTCTATGGCGGAAACTTTGTTTTTGTGAATTTTTATTTGAATAGAAAATGATAAAAACCACTTAACTATGGTGAAAGCTTTATTTGTAGAGTTTTTTTAAACCCACGTGCTTCCTGACGAGCTACTCTACGGACTTGATGCGAACTAATGTTAAGTTAAGTGGTTTTTACCATTTTCTATGGCGGAAACTTTGTTTTTGTGAATTTTTATTTGAAAAAACGTTGAAAAAAACGCAAAAGAATAAAAGGAAACTAAGAAGAATGAAAAAGAATGCGTTTGTTTTTGCAGGAAACAAAGAGGACAAAGCTAAGTTACGTTTTTAAAAGTATTTTCTGTGGCGGAAACTTTATTTGTAGAGTTTTTTTAAACCCACTTGCTTCCTGACGATCTATTTTACGGACTTGATGCAAACGAATGCTAAATTCGCCACGAAGCCATTTTTCGCTTAAATGGCCATTTGGACGACAGAGTTCTATGCTAGCTGTCGATCGGAAAATTTTTACTCCGGTTTTTTTGGAGTGCGGAATTCGAATCCGGTTTTAGTTTTCAATTACAGTAAACCCTAAGGCTGGAAATAGTAGTAGCACGTACTTTAACCGGAAAATAGGTTAGAACAAGCTGAAAACGTTCACCCGGCGGTTTTCCGGGGTTGGAAAACCGAATTCAGCCGAAATACTTACGCGAAATATCAATGGAAAACCGTAATACCTCCACAAACACGACATTTTATGTTGGTAAAGCAAAGCTGGGTAATTCAACCGAAAGTGATCAAAATGAAGAACGTTTTACGTTTATAATGCATATCAAAACCCTGTGCCAGAAGCCGCGCGATTACGTAAACATAAAAATTTTCATTTTTTACATAAGCGCGCGCCCTCTGGCACACAGTCGAATTTGTTAAGTGGTTTTTATCATTTTCTATGGCGAAAGCTTTGTTTTTGTGACTTTCTAATCGCACTATCTTTTATACATGCAAATTAGCAGGGGTACGGTAGTTTTACCATGCTTTAAAGCGCCAAACCCAGGATTTTCTCGGAAAAAGGTTGCAAGTATTGCAAGTATGCAATCTAAAAGCACCGGCGTAAACCGTAAAGCAACTCATTTTTCTCATTTGCTCGCACTGTCGTTATTCCAATTGTTGGTTTGTAAAATAATCTTAAATCATGCTTACATTGTCTTCTGTTCTCTCCCTTTCATTGTTTTTTCACCAAGGTTTAATTTCCCAAATTTGAGGTGACGATAAACACTTATACAACTTGACAAATCTCTGCAACTGGAACTCTAAGCATTCTGATTATTCTAAGCATTTGGCTTGCTCATTTGATTAAAGCTATTTGATTGCTCAATAGCAACTGTTCGATTGCTCAATAGCAACTGTTTGATTGCCCAATAGCAATTATTTGATTGCTCAATAGCAACCCCGCAACATTAAGTTGCAACAATAACAGCAATAAAAACAGAGCAACTTACTATAGGGCTCGAAGCCAGGCCAAAATTTGCTGTTGTTCTGTGTCTGAAGTGAATAGAAAAATTTTGACATTCAAGGAACTTTTCAGATGTTACTGAGACTTCCCCAGATGAGAACTCAATGGGTTTCTTCATGAGTGCTGAGTACCCGGGTGTGTTTGATACAGAGCATCGAGCTGGTTCGGATGGTGCTTGGCTGAAAAAGGCCGAATGGACTTGTAAGTGAAAGCCTAAAATCAAGAAATATTATAAGTAACAAGAAATATTATAATTTCTACTCAATATCAATAGATCCATCAAACGTCACTTTCTTTGTGCAATCGGTGGACACTGGGATCGGTGGAAGCTTGGGGATTACTGTTGCTGGGAAATATAATTTGTTAGTTCAAGGGTTGCGGTTGCTAAATGAAAATACGAAACATTTAGCTCTGGAACAATAACAACAACGGTCACCACTTCGGAAGTTGCAAAAGGGATTACGGTAAGCAGATTAACTGGCTTAAATTTATCAAGTTGTTGAATGAAATCGGTAATTTGATACGGTATCCGCTCTTGACGCTCTTGACGCTCTTGACAACAACAATGAGCTCACTTCAAAAATACCCAGCCAGAAAAGCCCGTCGTTAGGCAATTAGGCAGGTTTTTTGGCTGGTATGTTGATAAATAATAGGTTGGTTGATTGACTGGTTGATAAATAGATTTCCTCACAATATCCAACTTTCAGATTGACTGGCAACCATCAGACGACGTGAGATACGGCTTCTTGACTAGATGGTCGTCTTATCTAGCTGATGTGCCCACTCCACCATCGACAATCACCACATCTCTTGATTCAGCCACACACACAACCACTCTATCAACCACCACAAAAACAGTTTCCATTCTTTCACTTGGCAAATCCTTGGCAATTTTATTTGTTTTCATGATGATTCGTGGTTAAGTTTATTGATTGCTGTGGATTGTTTAATTGATTGCTGTGGGTTGTTTAATTGTTGCTGCTTTAATGATTGCAATTTTTCTTTGATCTTTCCAAATACGGGCTAAATAAAGAGTTCTTTCACACACACACAAGATGAATGCTTTAACTTTAAAGCTGTAGATGCTATATAAACTGGTACTTTAACACGTTGACGACAATGGCGCTTTTGCACAAACAATCGCATGGGACATCAGGTGACAATGTCCCAGGCGAACGAATATGTGTCAGACAGCATCAGGTGACAATGTTGTCAACGTGTTAACTCAGTCGCGACAATTTGCCCCACAAAGTTGGACAGCCATGTTAACTCCGCCTTTTTTTCGGTCTTGCCTTTGGCAATCTATGAATTTTGCTCGTATCTTAGCCGGGTTTTTTCCAAAAAAAACGTCGAATTTGTCTCGAAATCAAATTTTCTATCGAATGAAAGCAAATTCAACGTGTTTCAAATAACCCCGGTCAAGGTACGAGCAAAATTCGTAGATTGCCAACGGCAAACGTATCGAAAAAGGAGCGGAATTATTGAGTAATGTCAATTGAGTAATTGAGTAATTATTGAGTGAGTAATTATTGAGTAATTATTGAGTTATTGAGTAATTGAGTGGTTGAGGAAAAAGTGATGTCGGTTTTTGTCACAAAACTGTTTATTGATAAAAACATAAACAAACGCAGATCAATCAATGAGATATCCTTCATTATTATTATTACTTGTTCCCCATAAGAAAACTCTTCAACAACCGAAACAAAAAATAATCTGATGGGACCAGGTCCGGACTATAAGGTGCGTGGGGCGGTCATTTCAGCTCCGGTCCTTGAACGATTTCCCCAACAAAGCACAAGCACAAGCTGCACAACAGAGCACAAGCTGCACAACAGAGCACAAGCTGCACAACAAAGCACAAGCTGTTCACCGGAAACAATTCAATGAACTCCTGCGTCATTGTGCTCTTGCAAGTTTGCTCTCTGGTCTTCAAAAAGCCATTGCTGAGATCAGGATACACACAAAACTCCCCCTCAATTCCTGGTAGACAAGGGAGTTTTCTGAGTGACGAATCGACGAATCATCGACATTAAAACTTGGAAAATTCCATTGAAACCTTATCGGCAACAAATAAAAGGCCAGAGCACAGTCAACGGGAAGAAAAAGAGAAATTTCACTGTCTGCAAAATGTCTGCAATGTCTCTGTTATTGTTTTTGATTTTGTTACATCAAGGTTTGTTAGTTTATTATTTTTATTATATTAGTTATTATACTAACTATTCTATTAGTTATTATATTAGTTATTATATTAGTTATTACATTAGTTATTAAATTAGTTATTACATTAGTTATTACATTAGTTATTACATTAGTTATTACATTAGTTATTACATTAGTTATTCTATTAGTTATTCTATTAGTTATTATATTAGTTATTATATTAGTTATTACATTAGTTATTACATTAGTTATTACATTAGTTATTACATTAGTTATTACATTAGTTATTACATTAGTTATTAAATTAGTTATTACATTAGTTATTACATTAGTTATTACATTAGTTATTACATTAGTTATTCTATTAGTTATTCTATTAGTTATGATATTAGTTATTCTATTGGTTAGTCTATTAGTTATTATATTAGTTATTACATTAGTTATTCTATTAGTTATTATTAGGTTGATGCAAAAGTCTTTTTCATTTTTTTCGTACTTCTTTTGAAAAATAACAAAGTCATCAATTAACCTATGGTTTGCTCTGAATGAAAAGTGTTTATTGTTCAATTTCCCATCTTTTTAAGTCAATTTGGGTTCACTTTCAAGCAAATTCGAGAGTGAAAACGGGTTTTTCATAAAAATCTATAAAAACCTCTATAAAGAAATTGGCTGAATCAATTTCTCTGAAAATCTGAAAAAATATCCAACTTTTTGTGCTCTATCTTTTATTTATTAACATCAAGATTGGTTTCCTTAGCTAAAGCGTCTAAAATGCATCATCGAGCCGTCGCCTTTTTTGACTACCCGACTTCAGGCTCTCAAAAAAATCTAGACATAAGACATTTTAAACTCGTTTTAATGTCATTTTACAGAAAAATAATTGGCCTTTCGAATGCAATAAACCGTTGTTCAATTGGTGCATTTGTTACTTTTTAACGGAAAGTACGAAAAAATGAAAAAGACTTTTGCATCAACCTAATATATTAGTTATTACATTAGTTATTCTATTAGTTATTACATTAGCTGTGGAAGCTTTCCCTATCCCCTTCAAAATCTCAACATTTTTCCACTGGTAAATTTAGTTTCTCTTTGGTAATTAACAATATTCCTATCAATTACATTAGTAAATTAGATTTTGTTAGAGATTTAGGTGTCCACATCTCTCCCCCTTTTAATTTCACTAAACATATTGAAATCATTTGTCGAAAAGCTTCTTTTGTTTCTAGCCGTATTCTCAAATCAATTGTTCATCCTAACCTAAACTCTTACCGCAAATGCTTGACGACTTATATCCGGCCCATCTTAGAATATGCTTCTATTGTTTGGTCTCCCCGCGCACAAGTCTTTATTGAACGCTTGGAGAAAATTCAGAGGAGGTTCACAAAAGTCGCTTTATGGAAAATTGACTATTCTAAATATTCTAGCTTTACTTATGAGGAGAGACTTGCTTTTTTTTGAACTAAAAACTTTACAGCGTCGTCGCTTTGTCATTGATTTAGTCGAAACTTTCAAAATCCTCCGTTGTAAACAGATTAGCCCTTTGTTTATAGACTTTTTCAAATTTAAACCGCGGTCAGGGCCCAGAAGTGGCTCATTCCTTTTGCAAATTCCCTTTGCTTCCAATGCCTCTTTATCAAATTCATTTCCTGTTAGAGCCGCTAGATTATGGAACTTGCTCCCAAACGACATACGAGAAATTCAGTCGCTTTTCATATTCAAGAAACGTATCGATGCTTTAGATCTAGTGGCTCTTTGCCGTAAGTATTAGGTTGAAACCATTTCGTATTAAATAAAATAATAAGTTTTGAATTCTAAAAATTTCTTTTCTTTGGCTGGGGGTGGGGGTTTTCTTACAAAATTTTAAGTTTATTCTTTCTTTTGGTTTTATTTTTTTTCTTTTTTTGTGTGGTGGGTTGTCTTTTTGTGGTTTTTTTTTTTTTTAATACATTGGCTTATTGATTTCAGTATGTATTGTATGATTAAGTATCACTGTGCATTTCTCTATGATTTCTTTCACTTTATCGTTTGAATAAAGTATTATTATATTATTATATTAGTTATTACATTAGTTATTATATTAGTTATTCTATTAGTTATGAATAGTTACATGAATTATTAGAGTATAAGTTATATTAGTTATTATATTGAAGTATAATCTTTTTTTTGTTATTATTTAGTTATTCTATTGTTATTCTTTGTTATTCTATTAGTTATTCTATTAGCTATTCTATTAGTTATTCTATTAGCTATTCTATTAGTTATTACATTAGTTATTATATTAGTTATTCTATTAGTTATTCATTAGTTATTCTATTGGTTATTCTATTGGTTATTCTATTAGTTATTCTATTAGTTATTACATTAGTTATTCTATTGGTTATTCTATTGGTTATTCTATTAGTTATTCTATTAGTTATTCTATTAGTGAAAGACGGTGCCAGATATTTTCAAGTGAAAAAGTTAGATTTAGAGTTTTTGGAATATCTTTTTGCGGATTACAGTAGATAAAACAAACGAATAGTTTCCCGTTTCGTCAACAATTCGAGCTTGTGGTTTTGTGCAACCGATTGCTGTTGAAATCGCAATTTAGTTGCTGTTTAGTAACCCTAAATTTAGCGTTTAAGCACAGCTTTTTTATTAGCTTTTTAGCTATTAGTTTTTTTAGCTTTCTACGGCTTAATATTGTCTAGTATTAATATTAATAGTGTGGCTCATTGTCCGCGCAATCCTGGCCTAATATTGCCGGACATCAAACTTAGAAAAGTTTAATCTTGAGTCTTGAGTCTTGAGAACATAAGAATTAGAAAATCCTCATCTTCTCAAGACTTTTCAATTTAGTTCAAAGTGTTGACAAGGTGATCTCATTGACAAACATCGATGCCTCCTATGTGATTTCCGGTTACCTATTCCAGACATACACAGTAAGCGTTTGAAACTTTCAATTCTCGACAATAACTCACTCAAAAATCGATAGTCAATGTTGAATGTTCAATCGAAAATTCAAACTTTTCAGAATATCATCGTCGAGAACAAGGATAATTCGCGCGGATTGATTTGGGTGATTTCAACAGCAATCGGTGCCACACAACCACAAGCTCGAATCGTTGACGAAACGGGAAACTATTCGTTTGTTTTATCTACTGTAAATACTGTAAAATGTCTATATGTCTTTGTCTATAGGTTTCAAAATGTCTATACTGTAATAGTACCCCACCGCCCTCGTACAGCCGCGTAGTCGCAAAGGTTTTTTAGTATTTCTCTTTTTTTCGAAGCGCCCGTACTTTCAAAAAATGTGTCTTTGGTATCAAAAAATAGCCCTGAATCTCAGCTATTTTTTGATACCTAAACGAGCATTGTAGCATAAACCAGTGTTGAGAAAAACTCGTTCAAAGCTAGAGCTACGCAACACTCCGCACCGTCATTATGGGACTGGGGTACTATTATAGTATTTACGGTAGGCACATAATCAAACCGTAGGTCAAGGACCGGAATGAGAAGATCTTTAAGGATATTCAAATATCAAATAGAACATTGAGACGTAAAGTCAAAAGGAGAATGAGAAACTTTACATAGTCAGATACAGAACCAATCAGTCTACAGAGTGGCGCCCAATTATGGAAACTAGCTTTTTCGACTGTAACTACTGGTGACACAAGTAGCCCTGAATCTCAGCTATTTTTTGATACCTAAACGCGCATTGTAGCATAAACCAGTGTTGAGAAAAACTCGTTCAAAGCTAGAGCTACGCAACACTCCGCACCGTCATTATGGGGATGGGGTACTATTACAGTATTTACGGTAAGTATTCAAAAGATCCGTTAGATTTTTCAAACGCTGACTTTTTCCGGAAAGTCAAAGAAAGAATTCGACTTTTTTCGGAACTACTCTGGCGGGATTATCTATTAAGATATAAAACAAAACGCAAGACGTTTGGCGTCAAAGTTTAGTCGATTTTCTAGAGCTGTTACAAGTCTCTAGTTCTACCCTGGTTCAAATCCTAAAGTGTGATTTTTTTGCTTTCTATCAGAGTCATAAAATTTCAGAGCAGTCCCCGCTTCAGGCTATTTTGGCCCAGGAAAGTTGACTCTTTCTGTGGGAGCTGATCGAAATCGCAATTTCGTCATTCACTTTTTGCGAACTGATGAGACAAAGCGTTAGTTTTTAAGGATAAAAATCCAAAGTTGATTCACAAAATCAAATAAATATTGTACTAACAGCTAGTCTGATGTCAGTGCTACATCTGATAGAAATCATTTGTAGTCATTTTTTTCAGGAAACGCTGTCTTTCCATACGACACTGGGATCACTTCTGTTTCCGCTAATAGCAAAACAATGGGAGTCATGGCGAGCGGTGGGTTTTAAAGTAGTAGGCTCATAATTTAAACATTTCAAATATCTTTCAGATAGTGGACCAATGATGTATACGTTTGTCTCTTCTGATTTCACTGCTTTTCCTCAAATGGAGTGCTTGGTCGGAGAGGCTCAGGTTGGTTAAAAGCTGTTGTAAAAAGTAAAAGCTGTTGAAAACGAGTAAACAGTAAGAAAAGTAGGAAAAGTCAGAGTGATGATCATGCAAGATCAAGAGATTAAAGGCCAGGTGCAAGAGTAGCTTTGGATATTCAGGCCAGGCTAGGTCAGAAGTCTAATCATAGTCTGGTCGAGCCTCACTGGAGCAAAGCTTGATCAAAACTGCTTCTAGCGTGACTTTTGTGATTTTGAAACATCAGCAATAATGAGTTTCAGATAGTGGACGAATAAAGCAATACCAGTTCAAAAAATAATCACTCCAACCAAACAAACCCATTTATAGAATACATTAGATTGTTCGGATATTTAGTTTAGTTTAGTTTAGCTCAGCTCAACATAAGTTTAGACAAAAGACTGCACCGTTGATATGTACCTTGGTGGAATGCCGAGCGAGGCGGGGAAAGAAAAATATCGATTGGCCAGTTTTACGTAAGTTAAAGATATAGATGAAGTTAAAAATTCAATTTCAGACGAGATTCGGTCGCAAGATACAGAACGAGCTATATCTATGGCTATGGAGTGACATTCTTAGTGCCGGCTGGATGTGATGCTGGCTATGCGTGCATGGGAAGCAATGGTTTGTTCAAACAAGATCAAGAACAACTAATCACGATAATCAAGATACCGAATCTCATAAAAATCCCAGAAAATCCCAGATTATTTATTGTATATAAGCTGCACAATTTTAGCACTTCCTCCAGAGACAAGACCCGACGAGAATTCGATGGGTTTCTTCATGAGTTCCCAGTATCCCGGTGTTTTCAATACGGAATGGTCTGGGACGATTTTAACATCGCAACTCCAATCGTGGACTTGTCTGTGAAGATTTAGAAAACAAGAATGAATACTTTGTTTAGCTCCATCGAATATCACTTTCACTGTGCAATCGGTGGACCCAGGAAAAACTGGCTATTTGGCGATCACACTCGGACAATCAGCGACGGGCGAACTAAAGAATTTGTAGGCTTCCTTTTTATAAAGAAAAATGATCTCATTTTTAGTACCGAGATAACGACCACACCAACCACACTTTCAAGCGTCGCTAATCGATTTATGGTCAGCTATTTATTAAGAGACAGATCTTACAAGTAAAACTCTAAACGCTTTAACACATTCACGACGAAATGGGGAAACGATTTTATAGGTTTAGGATTAGGCTTAGCCTCAAGCTTAGCCTCAGGCTTGGACTCAGTCTCGGCTAAGACAGAGTCTATTTGGTTTAGGATTTTCCGGTGATTTTCATATTAGGCTTAGGCCAGGCTTGGACTTAGTGCGAAGGCTAACGGCAAGCGCCTTGCACTAAGTCTATTTGGGTTTGGGCTCAACCCCCATTTTCTGGATCTCGGCCAGTTCCCAGAGCTCAGGCTTAGGCTTAGACTTATTAGGCTTGGACTTAGTGAGAAGGCTAGCGGCTAGCGCCTGGCACTAAGTCTATTTGGGTTTGGGCTTAGGCTTAGGCTTAGGCTTAGACTCAGGCTTAGACTTAGGCTCAAGCAGAACCCAAAATCTGGGCCGTACGTAGATTTCGAACTTTTCTGAGGCCGATTGGGCTGAAGATTTTCACCTCGGGGTTTTCGGGGTCAAGGAATTCGAATACGTTATTAGTTTTTAAAGAAAGCTGCTCTATTTTTGGATATTTCGTTCGGTTTAATTACCCAAATGCGACCCAGACATCTAGAAAATGGGCGCGATTACAAAAACGTGACAATTTTCATGTTTACGTAATCGTGCGGCTTCTGGCACACGGCTTCTAGGGATATAAGGCAGTACCCGAAATCTGTTGCGCTCTTTTTTCTCAAATTTGGTTTAATTACTCAAGTTTTTATGGTGTTTTGTGATGACCGTTTCACTTGGAAATTAAGGTTGTTCAAAAAAAGCTAGTAACGGATACCCCAGAATGGCTCCGGTTGCAAATTTTCAGGTCTACAGCTAACAGATCATTTTTTGGATCAACTCGAGTTTTTAAGGACTTTCATTATTCATTTTGCAGAAAGCTCTCGATAACTTTATATCAATTTTCAAGCGGAAATTCAACGCTATCAAATGAGCTTTAATAGTTTAGTTTATCTTTGTATGTTCACCAAATTATCAGGCTCAGGCTTAGGCTCAGGCTCAGGCTTAGGCTCAGGCTCAGGCTTAGGCTCAGGCTCAGGCTTCAGGCTCAGGCTTAGGCTCAGGCTTAGGCTCAGGCTTAGGCTCAGGCTCAGGCTCAGGCTTAGGCTCAGGCTCACGGGTAACGACGAAGCGACTGTACATTCAAAATACCGTCGCTGCGAATGTGCTAAAGCTTTACTCGTTTCTTTTGTCACTTTTAATTGAGTCATGAATGCTGATGACTGATTTAAACAATCAATCAATATTCTTTAAATACCAAAGAAGTGATTTCAGATTTCCTGGCAACCATCGGATGATGTGAAGTACGGTTATTTGGCCAGATGGTCGACCTACTTAGCCAACTCACCAACAGGTACAGCAACTACAGGCACAACAGGCACAACAGGCACAACAGGCACAACAGGCACAACAGGCACAGCAGGCACAACAGGCACAACAGGCACAACAGGCACAACAGGCACAGCAGGCACAACAGGCACAACAGGCACAACAGGCACAACAACAGCAGGCACAACAACAACAGGCACAATAGGCACAACAACAACAACAACAACATCGAGATCGACAACAACGAAATCAACTTCGTTAACTAATTTGATCAATTCATTTATTTCCTTGCTTTTTGTAACATTTATTCGCCAATGATCGCAATTGTTATCTGAAATTGTCTCTGATTAATGCGGGTGAAATAAAGAGAAAAATGTTTTATGTTGTTAGGCAACTTATCCCAAGAACCAATAAAACAAGACCAGCCGGCCAGTTGAACATGAAGTTTAACAGTTTCAATTGTAAATTCCAAATGAATGTCAAATATAAAGTAGTTAGAAAGCTACTTTCCGATATACGTTCCAGATCAAGCAGCGATTTTTGATTGTGGGACATTTGAAACGCGTCCGCCCCTTTGCCATTGGCAATCGAACTTTGAGCTCAAATATCTTGGTGTTGGGCTGTTCAATTTAAATAGTTTTTGCACCAATCGATAGAGAAAGACTTGGCGCATCTAATGATACCAAGAATATTTAAATTGGACAGCCCAAAATCAAGAGATTTGAGCTCAAGTTAAATTGCCAATGGCAAAAGAGGCGGGGCGTGGATCAAATGTCCGCTAATCATCTATTTCTCCACTTTCAAACCCGCTTGAGCCAAGTTTGTACACTGAAAATTTCCAACCGAACACCAAGGAAGCTCAAAGCTCAAAGTTCCCATGAGCAGAGTGTTGCTGAGGCGGATGACGGGGGATTGGCCGCGTTGCCGGAAAGTTCTCGTTTCCCTGAAGATCTCCATCCGAATACTCCAATCACTCCTGATCTTAAGAAACAAATCTTTGTGCGGGTACCTGAAGTGCTTTGGAAGTGAGTTTTGTGAGATTGTGGGACATTTGACATTGCCATTGGCAATCCAACTTTGAGCTCAAATTTCTCGACTTTGGACTGTCCAATTTAAACATTTTTGGTATCATTAGATGCGCCAAGTCTTTCTCTATCCAATTGGTGTAAAACTCTTTAAATTGAACAGCCCAACACCAAGGAATTTGAGCTCAAAGTTGGCAATGACAAAGGGGGTGGGCGCGTATAAAAGGTAGCCTCGCCCCTTTGCCATTGGCAATCGAACTTTGAGCTCAAATTTCTTGGCTTTGGGCTATCCGATTTAAATAGTTTTTATACCAATCGATAGAGAAAGACTTGGCGCATCTAATGATACCAAGAATATTTAAATTGGATAATCCAACACCAAGAGATTTAAGCTCAAAGTTAAATTGCCAATGGCAAAAGGGCTTAGGCTGTCTGATAATGAAAGATTCACAATTCCTCTTTTTACAAGTACCCAATTTTGATGTGGATCTCAATTGCTTCATTTCTCGATCAAAAAACGCGATCTGACCAAGGCTTTTGAGTGTTTTTGCTCCGGCTTTCATCGATTCAATAACTCATGCTCAGCAGATGTTGGAGATCAAGAAAGGGAAAGGGAAAGAGATCGAGCTTCGAGAGAGGGGGGAGGACCAAGACAAAGAGAGACTCACAGGTGCTCCCCCGAGCCTCATCAAGACCCTTTCCTTTTCACCTAAAACCTCTCTGATAGTCCCGATATTGTTGATTTTATTGATCTCTCATTTCTCCTTCAAAAAAAGAGTGCTGATCCCCCGCAACCGGGCTTTTTGAGCATCGTCTTTTCTCTTTTCTCTTTCCCGAGTTTTTCCCTCTCTTTTCTCCCCAAACAACTGAGTGCCCTGAAAAAAAAAATTGAAAGAAATTGAAACTTTCTTTATTTTCTTTTCTACTTTGCTAAATTGACGTTTGTTTTTATTCAAACTGGCTTTTGGAAGTGATTTGATTGGGTGAACGGTGGGAGGAGAATGGCCGACGATGATGTGAGTTGAGGATGACTGGTTGATCATTTAAAGAAAGCATGATGACGGGTTGATGAGGCTAAACTAGCAAACTAGCAAACTAGCAAACTAGGAAACTAGGAAACTAGGAAACTAGGAAACTAGCAAACTAGGAAACTAGGAAACTAGGAAACTAGGAAACTAGGAAACTAGGAAACTAGCAAACTAGGAAACTAGGAAACTAGGAAACTAGCAAACTAGGAAACTAGCAAACTAGGAAACTAGCAAACTAGCAAACTAGGAAACTAGCAAACTAGGAAACTAGCAAACTAGCAAACTAGCAAACTAGGAAACTAGGAAACTAGGAAACTAGGAAACTAGCAAACTAGCAAACTAGTAAAGGTACTATCCGGTTAGATATTCTCATTTCTTAACAAATAACTAGGTTAAACTTTGAATAAACTCGAATAAACTCGAATAACTTTGAATAAACTCGAGTAGCTTCGAATAACTTCGAATAACTTAACTTTAAATAACTTTAAATAACGAATAACTTTCTTTTATCTACTTTATCCCTATGCTTGCCCAAAAGTGCCTTTGTTCTGAGATTCTAACAAATCTGATACTTAAAAGATCCATGGATAACCGGAAAGTACTCAAGCAAACTAGCAACGGGCTAAACAAGTATACTACAAGGGTAATTATAGGGATAACTTTTTGGAAAAGTATCTGGCAAATGTTTAACGTATATAAAACTCTATATATAAGAATAACGCTCATGCAAGCTCATTCAATGAGTTGTATAAGTCCAAGAGAAAAGTTTTTGTGAATAAATGTAGTCAAGATTAAGGGCTACAATTCTCTATATAACATTTGATAGTTTTGAAATAAATTAGACATTTCCCAGCTACTTTTCCAAAAAGTTGTTGCTATGATCATTGGAAATTGGAAATAAGTCTTTGAAAGTCATGGTAAAGTCTTTGGAAGTTATGGTAAAATCTTTGGAAGTCATGGTAAAGTCATTGGAGAACTGTTTTTCGAGGAGAAGATAGTTTTCATAGCAAAGCAGAAGTTACATTGTTTCCCAAGGCCACTAAATTTCTGAATTGTGTACACTTTTTAGACTTTTTAGATTCTTTAATAGATTTACACAAATGTTTAGACATCTAATGCTTCATAGCTTGATAAAAATCTCACTGAAAGATTCAACAACACTAGCAGCAAATGGGCAGATTGCTAGGTAGCTTTTCTAGATAGCTTTCTTGTTTTTATAGCTTTGCCATGTTCCTGTTTTCTTTTTTAGGTCCTTGGAAGGTCCATTAGGTCCTTGGAAGGTCCATTAGGTCCTTGGAAGGTCCATTAGGTCCTTGGAAGGTCCATTAGGTCCTTGGAAGGTCCATTAGGTCCTTGGAAGGTCCATTAGGTCCTTGGAAGGTCCATTAGGTCCTTGGAAGGTCCGTTAGGTCCTTGGAAGGTCCATTAGGTCCTTGGAAGGTCCGTTAGGTCCTTAGAAGGTCCATTAGGTCCTTAGAAGGTCCATTAGGTCCTTGGAAGGTCCATTAAGTCCTTGGAAGGTCTGTTAGGTCCTTAGAAGGTCCATTAGGTCCTTGGAAGATCCATTAGGTCCTTGGAGGGTCCATTAGGTCCTTGGAAGGTCCATTAGGTCCTTGGAAGGTCCGTTAGGTCCTTAGAAGGTCCATTAGGTCCTTAGAAGGTCCATTAGGTCCTTGGAAGGTCCATTAAGTCCTTGGAAGGTCCGTTAGGTCCTTAGAAGGTCCATTAGGTCCTTGGAAGGTCTGTTAGGTCCTTGGAGGGTCCATTAGGTCCTTGGAAGGTCCATTAGGTCCTTGGAAGGTCCATTAGGTCCTTGGAGGGTCCATTAGGTCCTTGGAAGGTCCATTAGGTCCTTGGAAGGTCCGTTAGGTCCTTGGAAGGTCCATTAAGTCCTTGGAAGGTCCGTTAGGTCCTTAGAAGGTCCATTAGGTCCTTGGAAGGTCTGTTAGGTCCTTGGAGGGTCCATTAGGTCCTTGGAAGGTCCATTAGGTCCTTGGAAGGTCCAATAGCTCCATTAGGTCCATTAGGTCCATTAGGTCGATTAGGTCCATTAGGTCGATTAGGTCCATTAGGTCCTTGAAAATCGAAGATCATTCGGGGTTTAAGCTGAATCGAGCCGTTAACATGCTTGCTTGTTTGCTGAAAATCACAAAAATCCCCTCTGATTAATCGTTTTCAGATAGAAATACACCAATATTGGTGGCAAGCTGAGGTTGTTATTCAAATAATATTTTACACCAAAACGAAGCACAAACTTTTGACACTGTGCACTATTGCGAGCACATTAAAACTGTTTCTACGCTTTAGAATTTATCGTTAAACTGATCGTTTAATAGTTTGATACGATTAGACGAAATTTTTGATATAAAAATTTATCACAAGGGAAAGGCATCGAGTCAAATTGGCCTTTTGACTCGAGACCAAATCCATCCTATGGGAGCTCGAACTCGAAGGCCATGGGAACTGGAATTCGTTCTCGAACTCGAACTCAACGGCCATGGGAACTGTGGGAGTGGGACTCGAACTTGATGGTAAAAAGAATGTCATAGGTTCGGTAGTCTAGCAGACTATCCACTAGACGATCAAAGAAGTCGTTAGGCGTGTGACGGCCTCATAAGGACCTCGGAATTCAACGTGATTTTCTATTCCAAATATCTCGCGTTTGCGAAGCGTTCTGCCAAAAAGAAAACGGATTCGAGATCTCCATGGCCGACTCTATAAGATGTCCATATGATGGACTTGGTCACGAGTCAAAAGGCCAGCTTGACGAGGTCACGAGGACTTGGTCACTAGTCAAAAGGCCAGCTTGACGAGGTCACGAGGACTTGGTCACGAGTCAAAAGGCCAGCTTGACGAGGTCACGAGGACTTGGTCACGAGTCAAAAGGCCAGCTTGACGAGGTCACGAGGACTTGGTCACGAGTCAAAAGGCCAGCTTGACGAGGTCACGAAGACTTGGTCACTAGTCAAAAGGCCAGCTTGACGAGGTCACGAGGACTTGGTCACGAGTCAAAAGGCCAGCTTCACTCGGTGCTTTTCCCTTGTCAGATTAAATTTTGAAGTCGGTTTTTTTAGAAGATAAAGCGCTTTTCCATAGCCGCCAGATTCGTTCTCCGACTTCGGAAGGGAAAAGTATTCTAAAGATTGAAATATTGAAGTGCGACTATCTTTTAAATCTTTCAATTTGATAGAATCTCTATTTCAAATCTTTCAATTGATAAAATTTCTATTTTTCAAAAACTTTTAAGTGCTTTTGCTCTTTCCACACAGTTCTTTTCATTCTTTTCATTCTTTTCACTCTTTTGAACGGAAATTTGATCCGTTTCCACACGTTTTTCAAAAAAGATCGCTTTGAGAGTTCAGAAAAATTACACCCATTAGGTAGATGCATAAGAAATGTGGATTTCAACATTTTCATCAATTTCTAAAGATAGAAAGCTGATGTTATAAACTAGAATCGATGAATGTTATAAACTATTTGAAAGCTGTAAATCTCCTCTACAAAATAGGCTAAAACGTGTTTCAATTGATCGAAGCATTGAAGCAAATTTCGAGGGCGAAATGCGAGTGATCAAAAAAAGGAATCGAGTCACTTTAGGGACAAGTTTAGTGTCGTCAAAATAGTTCGGTTTTGACTATATAGTGGAAAATGAGCGCCCTTCATTCAAAATCATTCAAATATCATTCAAATATCATTCAAATATCATTCAAATATCATTCTAAATCATTCAAAATAATTAAGAGTTCGGATCATTTTATGAAAAAACTTTGTTTTTACACTAATCACTTTTTTGAGTCACTTTAAGGACAGGTTTAGTGTGGCCAAAATAGAGTTAGCTTTCCAAAATTGAAGATTTAAAAAGAAAAGGATAATTATATATCAATTCATTCAAAAAAAAGTCTAACGGAAATGCATTTACAAAAATTTAGATAGAGCGTAAGTTCAAAACCCTCAAAATTGTCAAAAAACCGGCTTTTTCACAAAAAAGAAACATTATTGTAAAAACAAAGTTTTCCCATGAAATGATCCCAACTCTTAATTATTTAGAATGATATTTGAATGGTTTAGAATGGTTTAGAATGATTTTGAATGGTTTAGAATGACTTTGAATGATTTTGAACGATTTTGAACGATTTTGAACGATTTTGAATGGTTTAGAATGGTTTAGAATGATTTTGAATGATTTTGAATGATTTTGAACGATTTTGAACGATTTTGAATGGTTTAGAATGGTTTAGAATGACTTTGAATGATTTTGAACGATTTTGAACGATTTTGAACGATTTTGAACGATTTTGAATGATTTTGAATGATTTTGAATGAAGGGCGCTCATTTTCCACTATATAGTCAAAACCGAACTATTTTGACGACACTAAACTTGTCCCTAAAGTGACTCGATTCCTTTTTTGGTCACTCGCATTTCGCCCTCGAAATTTGCTTCAATGCTTCGATCAATTGAAACACGTTTTAGCCTATTTTGTAGAGGAGATTTACAGCTTTCAAACGGTTTATAACATTCATCGATTCTAGTTTATAACATCAGCTTTCTATCGTTCCAAATTTAATTTATGAAAATGTTGAAATCCGCATTTCTTATGCATGTACAGTACTGGACAATGAAATATGATATTTGAAAAAACGATCGTCACTTTCGCGCGTCTGTAACTCCCTTGTCCTTGTCCTCCCTTGTCCCTTAAACTATTAGGGTTATACATTTTCTGAAAGCTCTTTTCAAGGGCTACACAATGGTAATATTAATATTTAGAAATACGGTAAAGACAGGGGAGTTACAGACGCGCGAAAGTGACGAAAGTGACAATCTTTTTTCAAATACAGTCGAACCTCTCTATAACGAACCTCGATATAACGTAAACCTCTCTATAACGTAAGGCGTGACCGGTCCCGGCCGACGTTAAGCTATATAAAACGGCACTCTATATAACGTAAACCTCTATATAACGTAAGCTATAGCCGTCCCGTGAGTTACGTTATAGAGAGGTTCCACTGTATGATATTTCATTGTCCAGTAGTGTACCTAATAAATCCGAATAGTTGAAAGTGTGAATGAAAGATCTTTTCTGAGCAAAAGCATTTGATTTGAACCAAAATTCTAGGTGAGCGTCGAAGAATACAGCTATGAAGATGAAGACGAAGAGGAGTGGTCATATTATGAAGAGGTTTGGAAAAGTGATTCTTATTTATTCTTTTTTCAAAAATTTTTACAAAATTTGACAAAATTTGACAAAAAATTCTAATTTAAAACAATTAAATGTGAAAATTTCTCTAATAAATCTCTAATAAACTTCTCATTTTTCATCATAAATCAATAATTATTGGATTGGTGAATTGAAAACCGCGGGCTATTGCCATATGTGACAGTTTGAGCACTTTCTTCAAAAGAAACCCATTTTGGTGTCAATGGAAAAGTTGTAGAGAATCAAAAATCAAGCTTATATCCAAATTTTCAGAACGATTCAAAAACTGATTTTCAAGAAATGCCAAATTTTCGAATGCCAATGCGAATTTTCACAAAACTTGCATTTTAAGCGAAACTACTAAGTGTATCTTTTTGAAAATTTGGCTATAAGCTTAATTTTTGATTCTCTACAACTTTTCTATTGACACGAAAATGGGTTTCTTTTGAAGAAAGTGCTCAAACAGGGATCTCCAGTCTCCATCTCCAGTCCTCCATTTTTGAGTCTCACACTTGTCTCACACACAAACCAAAATCCTTCTACGAAAGAGGAATCCGCAAATTGCCTGTAAAATGGGCAGAAGTCGTCAATAATAATGGAAATTATTTGGAATCAATTTATGGTTTTATGTTGAATAAATTTTGGTTCAAAGTCCCGCAGTTTTCAATTCACTAACCCAATATATGACTAAAATAGCTGATATAGAACAATCTTCTAGTGTAAAAATACTTGAAAAATCTAATTTTGTAGGTTTTGAGTCTTGAAAATTTCACAAAACATTACAAAAGTGGTCTTTTAGGAGAGAACAGAACTTTTCACGCACCCTATAGATCCATCTAGTTCCCCGTACTCACAAAAAAACTCTTTCCACTTTAACAAAGTACCCAAAGAGTGTTTTACTGGTTTTTTTAGAAAATTTTTGAAAAGGAGTTCCTCAAGGGTCCTCCCGTAGATGTACACCGAAGATAACAACTTTAATACCCCTAAACCGTGCTAAAAAAAAACCTAAACGAAAGAGGAATCAAATTGCCTGTAAAATGGGCAGAAGTCGTCAATAATAATGGAAACTATTTGGAATTGATAGTTTTATGTTGAATAAATTTTAGTTCAAAGTCCGGCAGTTTTCAACTCACCAACCCAATAAAACAATTTTCTTTTGCAATATGCAAATTTTAGACAGAAGAGGAAGAGGAGGAGCCCCAGCTTCAAGCGGCATTTCCAAAACCAAAAGATGATAAGAAAGATGATAAGAAAGATGATAAGAAAGACGAGAAAAAGGAGGAGAAAAAGCCTGATGAGCCGGCAACTTCGGCTACTTTTAGGTATTTTAAATATTAAATACGAGTAGATAACAAGTTTATGGTTAAAACACGAAATAAAGTACATTTTTCAAGGAAAGATTTCGCTCCAAACACTCAAGCTTTTCAACAAAACTTTTGATGTATTGTGGAAAATCTGTTCAGTGGAAAATCATTTGCTTTCTATTCTATTTTTAGGGTTTAATTTAACCGGCATTTCCAAAACCAAAAGATGATAAGAAATCGGCATTTACCATAAGCCTATGCTAAGCTTTGTTTGTTTGATTTGTTGTAAAAAAATTGACACATTTAGTTTGCCACAGTTGACACATTTCATTTAGTTTGCCAAAGTTGAAAGCCGAGCCACCTCCAAAGAAACCCGAATCTGACGAGGAAAGCTATGATGAGGTGAAGCATTTAAAGCAGTAATCTAATTTGAGAATTTAAAAGTCCCATATATCCCATATTTCACATGAAATCATTTTCAGGATGAGGATGAGGAGTGGTCTGATGAGGAATGGTCCGAGTACAGTGATGAGGAATCGGAGATGGAAGTGGAACCAGTCGGTGACACGGGAAAACTCGATGAGAAGAAATTCCCGAAGTTGAAAACAGAAGAACCAGAAATTGCTCAAAAGAAAGATGAGCCAAAGAAAGATGAGCCAAAGAAAGATGAGCCAAAGAAACCCGTTCCAAAACTGAAACAACAAGATTCTGAGCCTGAAGTGGAGGCAGCTTTCGCATTGCCGAAAAAGGTTGATGAAAAGAAGCCAAAGTTGAAGATTGATGAAGAACCGGAGAGCTCATTCACTTTACCAATTGGCAAAAAGCCTCCAATAAAACGACATGCGACTGAGGAAGAGGAGTTGCCTTGTGAAGAAATTGGAGAACCACAAAAGAAGAAAGATCCAAAGATTTCTCTGAAAGAAGTGCCGAAAAAAGCGGAACCAACTTTGAAAAGAAAATCGGAAGAAGAGAAAGAAACACCACCTACAAAAAAAGCTGAAGTGGACAAGCCAGTGGTCAAGCCAGTGGATAAGCCAGTGAACAAGCCAGTGGACAAGCCAGTGGACAAGCCAGTGGACAAGCCAGTGGACAAGCCAGTGGACAAGCCAGTGGACAAAAAAGTTGAGCCAGCTAAGAAACCTGGAGTTACAGCTGGAAAAAGACCGGCCATTGATGACGAGGTACCATGTGAAGAGATTGGGAAACCAGCTGCAAAAAAAGACCCAAAGATTGCTTTCAAAGAGCCGGAAAAGCCTCCAGCTAAACCAGCTGATGCAAAGAAACTGGAGACGAAAAAACCTGAACCTTTGAAGATCCCTGATAAAGTTTCCACAAAACCAAAAGAGCCTGCAAAAGCTGAAGAAGCACCGAAAAGTCCTCCAATGGTATTTTATGGAGAAAGCTTTACTTTGGCTGAACCAAAGAAGCCTGCTGCAAAGCCGGATCCTAAAAAGGAACCAGTAAAGGATAAAAAAGAGCCACTAAAGCCTCCAGCTAAGTCAGCTCCAGCTCCTGGTGATAAAGAGTTGCCTGCTGAACAAGTGGGGAGACCAGATCCAAAGAAAGATCCTAAAATTTCTTTCAAAGAACCAGAGAAGCCGAAAGAGGCTGTAAAACCAACTGCTACAAAGCCTACTTCAACCAAACCTGTTGGAAAACCGCCTGGTTTTGATGAAGAGTTGCCGTGCGAAGAGCTTGGCGGGCCGACTCCAAAGAAAGATCCTAAACTGAGTTTTAAAGATCCAGTCAAGCCGACAACAACACCTGCATCTGATCCAAAAGCTGATACTCTTGCTACAAAACCTGGAGATAAGCCAAAGAGTATTACACCGGTTAAGCTAGCTACACCGGCACAGAAAACACCTTTGAAACCTGGTGAAGATGAGGAGTTACCATCTGAAGATTTAGGTGGGCCTTCTGCTAAGAAAGATCCAAAGATCAATTTTAAAGAACTAGTCAAACCAGTGGATCTAAAGAAACCAGCTTCTAAGCCAGTTGAGCCAGCTTCTAAGCCTTTAACACCAGCAAAGCCTGCTACAAAAGCTTTGGAGCCAACTTCTGCAAAGCCTGGAGAGCCAGCGAAAGTTAAACCTTTACTCAAGAAACCTGATGATGACGAAGAGTTGCCATGTGAAGATCTTGGAGCGCCAGCACTTGCAAAGAAGCCAACTCCGACTTTCAAAACACCACAAAAGACTGAACCAGTCAAGAAATCGGATGAACCGTTAGCTAAACCAACAGCGGCTAAACCTATTCCAAAACTGAAGTTGCCAGGTGATGAGCCGGAAGCCGATGCTACTCTTCCTTTGGCTAAAAAGCCTGCTCTTGTCACCAAGAAACCTGGTGATTCTGAGGCTCCTGCTGACTTTCTTGGAGGACCAGCAAAGAAACCGGCACCTACTCCAAAGTTTAAGGAACCAACCGAAGAACCGAAGAAACCAACAACTACACCAGCTGCCAAACCAGCAACGACTCCCGTCAAACCGGCTGCTGCTACCACACCGGCAAAACCGGTCACTCCATCAAAACCAAGTGATGGTGAAGCTCCAGCTGCACCCAAGAAACCTGCAGCTGTACCCAAGTTGAAAGAACCAATTGATGAGCCTGCTAAGTCAGCCAAGAAACCGGATGAACCACCACTCACTGCAAAAGCTGAGGATAAACCAATTGGAAAGAAACCTACCGAACCTGCTAAGCCAACCACAACCCCAGCTAAGCCAGTCGAACCAGTGAAACCTGCCCCAAAGCCAACAGCTGCTAAACCAATTCCAAAGTTGGCTAAAGAAGAACCGGAAGCGGATGCGGTTCTACCACTTCCAAAGAAAGCGCCCGTCAAACCTGGGGATAGTGAAAGTCCAGCCGATTTCCTTGGCGGACCTACTCCGAAGAAACCAGAGCCTAAATTTAAAACACCAACCAGTGAACCAAAAAAACCTGAAGAGACAGCTGTACCTGCGAAACCAACAGCAGTCCCAACACCAACCAAACCGACAACAACAACTCCAGCAAAGCCTGCACCAGTCAAGCCAGCTACTGCTCCAGCAAAGCCCACTGATGCTCCAAAGCCGACAACACCTGCAAAACCAGCTGCCGCTCCTGCAAAGCCATTAAAATTAAAGCCTACTTCCGATGATGAGGAACCCGCTGAAGAGGTTTCTCTTCCATTGCCAAAGAAACCAGTTGCTCCAGTGACCAAGGCTCCCGCTAAACCAACAACAGCTCCAAAGAAGCCTGGCGATTCTGAGGATCCGGCTGATTTGTTGGGAGGACCAGATAAAAAGAAGCCTATTCCGAAATTCAAAGAGCCTACTGATGAGCCAAAATCAACTACTCCAGCAAAACCGACCACAACCCCTGCTCCGGCTAAACCAGCAGCTACTCCTGTTACACCGGCTGCAACAGCCCCCGCAAAGCCAGCTGCAACAACTCCTGCAAAGCCAGCTGAAAAAGCGCCACTTAAACCTATACCGACTTCAGATGATGAAGAGCCAGCTGAAGAAGTGTCTCTACCGTTGCCAAAAAAGCCAGTGGCCAAAGCACCAGTCAAGCCAATTACTGCACCGAAAAAGCCAGGAGACACAGATGATCCGGCTGATTTGTTGGGGGGGCCAGAGAAAAAGAAGCCGGTACCTAAGTTTAAAGATCCCACAGATGAAGAACCGAAAAAGCCTGCAGAGGCTAAGCCAACTACACCAGCTAAACCAGCTGCCACACCGGCTAAACCAGCTGCTGCGCCTGTTAAACCAGCAACTACCCCAGCAAAGCCAGCTACAAAAGCGCCACTTAAACCCATACCAACTTCTGATGATGAGGAACCGGCTGAAGAGATTTCTCTTCCATTGCCGAAGAAACCAGTTGCTCCAGTGACCAAGGCTCCCACTAAACCAATAACAGCTCCAAAAAAGCCTGAAGATTCTGAAGATCCGGCTGATTTGTTAGGTGGACCAGATAAAAAGAAGCCTGTTCCGAAATTCAAAGAACCTACTGATGAGCCAAAATCAACTACTCCAGCAAAACCAACAACAACTCCAGCTCCGGCTAAACCAGCAGCTACTCCTGTTAAACCACCTGCAACAACTCCAGCAAAACCAGCTACAAAAGCGCCACTTAAACCCATACCAACTTCTGATGATGAAGAACCGGCTGAAGAGATTTCTCTTCCATTACCAAAGAAACCGGTTGCCCCTGTAACTAAAGAACCAGCTAAGCCAACAACACCAGCCAAACCGGCAACTACTCCAGCAACGAAAGTACCTACCACTCCTGCTAAACCGGCAGCGACTCCAGCTCTAGCTCCACCAGCTAAACCGGCGGCTGCACCAGCTAAACCAACAACCCCGGCAGCTAAACCTCCGCTAAAACTAAAACCGACTTCTGATGATGAGGAACCGGCTGAAGAGATTTCTCTTCCATTGCCGAAGAAACCAGTTGCTCCAGTGACCAAGGCTCCCGCTAAACCAACAACAGCTCCAAAAAAGCCTGGCGATTCGGAAGATCCGGCTGATTTGTTGGGAGGACCAGATAAAAAGAAGCCTGTTCCGAAATTCAAAGAGCCTACTGATGAGCCCAAAAAACCAGATGAGGCTAAGCCAACAACTCCAGCTAAACCTACAACAACCCCGACTAAACCAGCAGCCGCTCCCACCAAACCAACAGCACCAGCAAAACCAGCGGCAAAAGCTCCGCTCAAGCCGATTCCTACCTCTGACGATGAAGAACCGGCAGAAGAGATTTCGATTCCACTACCGAAGAAACCTGTGGCTCCAGTCACTAAAGAACCCGCAAAACCTATAGCACCAGCTAAACCTACAACTGCTCCAGCTAAGCCGACTACTCCTGTCAAACCTACAACTGCTCCAACCCCTGCTAAGCCATCTGCTGCTCCGGCCAAGCCAACTGATGCGCCAAAGACGACAACCCCTGCAAAACCAGTCGCTGCTCTAGTGAAACCAGCTACAGAACCGGCAAAACCAGTAGCAAAGCCTCCACCGAAACTCAAACCAACTTCTGATGATGAAGAGCCAGCTGAAGAAGTGTCTCTACCGTTGCCAAAAAAGCCAGTGGCCAAAGCACCAGTCAAGCCAATTGCTGCACCGAAAAAGCCAGGAGACACGGAAGATCCGGCTGATTTGTTGGGAGGGCCAGAGAAAAAGAAGCCGGTACCTAAGTTTAAAGATCCCAAAGATGAAGAACCGAAAAAGCCTGCAGAGGCTAAACCAACTACGCCAGCTAAACCAGCTGCCACACCGGTTAAACCAGCTGCCACACCTGCTAAGCCAGTTGCTGCGCCTGTTAAACCAGCAACAACCCCAGCAAAGCCAGCTGCAAAAGCGCCACTTAAACCCATACCAACTTCTGATGATGAAGAACCGGCTGAGGAGGTGTCTATTCCGCTACCAAAGAAACCTGTGGCTCCAGTCACTAAAGAACCGGCAAAACCAACAACACCAGCTAAACTAGCAACCACTCCAGCAAAACCTGCACCAGCCAAGCCAGCTGCTACTCCAGCAAAGCCCACTGATGCTCCAAAACCGACAACACCTGCAAAACCAGTCGCCGCTCCTGTCAAGCCTGCTGCCAAGCCATCCCCAAAAGTCAAACCGACTTCAGACGATGAGGAACCGGCTGAAGAGGTGTCAATCCCATTGCCAAAGAAACCTATTGCACCAGTTACTAAAGCTCCAACAACACCTGCAAAACCTGCAACAGCTCCAGCGAAACCCGCTGCTAAACCGGCACCAAAGCTAAAACCTGAGGATGAACCTGAAACTGATGCTACAGTTCCTTTGCCTAAAAAGTCAGAGCCCAAAAAGGCGCCAGCACCTGTAAAACCAGTTGCCAAACCTTCACCAAAAGTAAAACCAACCTCAGATGATGAAGAGCCCGCAGAAGAAGTCAGTGTTCCGTTACCAAAGAAACCGGTAGCACCTGTGACAAAGGCTCCGACTAAACCAGCTGCAGCGCCGGCTAAACCAGCTGCAGCTCCGGCTAAACCAGCTGCAGCGCCGGCTAAACCAGCTGCAGCTCCGGCTAAACCTGTCGCCAAGCCTGTCCCAAAGCTGAAACCTGAAGATGAAGAACCAGATACTGATGCAACGGTTCCATTACCAAAGAAACCAGCAACACCGGCTAAGGCTCCAGCCAAACCTGCTGCTAAGCCACCTCCTAAAGTTAAACCTGAAGATGAAGAACCAGCTGACGAGGTAACGATGCCATTGCCGAAAAAGCCAGCCACACCAGCTACAAAAACTCCGGCTAAACCAACCACACCAGCCAAGCCAGCTGTCAAAGCACCTCCAAAAGTTAAGCCGGACGATGAAGAACCCGAGGAAGAGGCTACTTTACCGTTACCTAAGAAGCCAGCTGCTAAATCCCCAGCCAAGCCAACAACACCTGCTAAACCGGCTGCTAAAGCACCTCCAAAAGTCAAGCCAACTCCTGATGATGAACCAGAAGCTGATGCCACTCTACCAGCTCCCAAAAAACCAACTCCAGCAAAGGCGCCGGCAAAAGCTCCGGCTAAACCAGCTCCAAAAACACCGCTCAAGGTTAAACCGGAGCCAGATGAGGAAGAGCCTGAAGCTGATGCTACGCTACCTCTACCAAAGAAAGCGGCACCGAAAAAACCAAAGGATAGTGATGATCCGGCTGATCTTCTCAACGCTCCGACAAAGAAGAAACCGACACCAAAATTCAAACCAACCGATGATGAGCCAGAGACTGATGCTACGCTTCCTCTAAAAGGGAAACCGAAGCCAAAACCGAAACCAAGAGGTAGTTTAGTTAGTTGAGAAATGATTGTGTGGATTTAGATGAAGATGAAGAGGAGCCAGAAGACGAGGAGGAACCGGAGGATGAGGATGAAGAGGAGCCAGTTGAACCTGAAGATGGTGAAGAGGAACCAGAGGAGCCTGAAGAGCCTGAGGTGGATGAGAGAAATTCAAAAGCACATCCTAGTCTATTATTTCGAAAAATAGAGTTCTCCAACTAATGGGCCTTATATGGATAGTAGTTTTGGGTTTTAAGCTTTGAAATCTTTCTAGATACATAGTGGATTTAGTTCTAGATCTAGATCTAGACCTGAATCTAGACCTAGTTCTAGACCTAGATCTAGACCTAGATCTAGACCTAGATCTAGATCTAGATCTAGTCCTAGATCATTTCTAGTTTGATTTTCTAGATTTCAGCTACAAGTTCTGAGTAGATTTTATCTGATTTTTGATAAGCAATATTCAAATTTGTTTTCATTTTTCAAATTTCCTTTAATTTTTCTTCTTTTAATTTAATATTTCCAGGAAAAACCAAAAAAGAAAAAGAAGAAGCCAAAGGAGAAAAAGCCCAAAGAGCCAAAACCGAAAAAAGAAAAGAAACCAAAGGAACCAAAGAAATTGAAATGGTGTCCACCACCGAAAGCTCCACTAGAAGCTATCCCATTGAGGTGAGTTTACATAAATGGCTTTAATAAAATAAAGAATAAATTTTTTAGATCTTCCCTATTTTTACTTCAGCTTATTTTTTATAACTTACTAGGGAATTATTTTTTAAAAATGAACTTTTTGAATGGGTACAAGTTTAGAAGTCAAAGCTCTTCTTTTTGTACTATTTACAATACAAAATAGTACTATTTACAATACAAAATAGTACTATTTACAATACAATACAAATTTACAATAGCCTCAATTTTTTGAATCAAATTTTAGCCTTAGATTTGTTAGTATCTTTCTACAAATTTAGCTTTCTGTTAAACCAAAACTAGTTGGGGATAGGAAAGGTTGAAATTTAAATAAATAGCTGAATAGTTAAATAGTTGAATAGCTAAATAGTTAAATAGCTGAATAGCTGAAGAGCTAAATAGCTAAATAGCTGAATAGCTAAATAGTTAAATAGCTGAATAGCTAAATAGCTGAAGAGCTAAATAGCTGAATAGCTGAATAGCTAAATAGATAAATAGCTGAATAGTTAAATAGCTGAACAGCTGAATAGCTGAATAGCTAAATAGCTGAATAGCTAAATAGATAAATAGCTAAATAGCTGAATAGCTGACCTAAATAGCTGAATCGATTTTTTGATTAAATCACGCTACGCTTTTAAGGCCCTATTTGCTTATTCTTTTAAAAATTTCTAAAATTACCATACTGGAAAAGGTTTATTTGATACCTTTTCCCAACTATAAGCCTATAAATTTAGCACCGAACCACCGGAAAAAACGATTGTCGAGAAGAATAAGGAACCCGATGCAGAACGACCAACAAAGAGATATTTGAAGAGACCAAAACATACGTGGGTTTTTTTTTTTTGAAAGCTGCAAGACTGAGATTAGCATTAAATATTAGATAAAGATATCCTAAAATTCTAATCAGTGCTAGAGGACTACTGAAGATTTCGTTTTGAAGCTCTGAATTCATTGCAACACAAGCTATATTCTGCTCTTGGTTCTTGAGCTCTGTTCTTGAGTTCATTTATGAGCAGTTTACCTTACTATTAGCTTTCTTTACTGAATTATCTTCTTTATTGCCAGCAGCTTTGCAGAAAAAAAAAGTTTGGAACAAAATGCAAAAGAATTGGCGGCCAAGAGGAGTCGAACCCGTGACCTCTCTCTTCCGTTCGTTTGAGAGACGCGCGAGTTAACCACTCGGCCACTCGGCGTTAACCATCGGCGCAGTGTGAGCGCACTTTAGCCCACAAGATCCGGGTTCGACTCTCGCGCGCGTCAGCGCTTTTCGTTTCTCAAAAATTTTAGAACCTATCGCACAACTACATGGAATTTTAAGTCAAACCAACTAAAAGTTATTTGAAACGGCCCACTTGGCGTGGAGGAGTAATGCGGAGGAGTAAAGGGCGCGGAGGAGTAATGCGCATGACAGAGAGATCCTGATCTTTTATATATAGTACAGGTTTTCTCATAATTACTCATAATGACGATCATTTTCCTTTTTAAGCACTTACTCGACAGTAAACAACTTCTCATCACTGAACACAATGGAACAATGTTACTGGCCCGGGAACCATTGAAGATCTTGACACCGAGCGATTCGTTTTGGTTTCGTTGCTCCTGCTAAGCCTGGGCACTTTTTCTTCTTGAAGGCTTTCAATTTGAGGTGTTTTCGAACAATTCTCTTCATCGACAGCTCGGAAATCAGACTCGAGCAAGCTCGTCAAGCAACGGAAGCGCGTCAAGCAAGCTCGTCAAGCAACGTTCACTTTTTCCGGCTTTCTTCTGATCTTCTCGAGTACTTTCTTGACGACGGTTGTAATGACAAATCGCTTTCTGCCTCGTCCTAAACAATCCCTATTTTTTCTCCAAAGGCTTTAAAGCATGCAATTGTTTGGTAGACGGTGGCTTAACTTGCTTCCAAGTGATTTTGCATTGAGTGTGCCTTTGATGGTGATCAATGATTGACTGAAGATGGATCAAAGGCTTCACCATTCCGACAAATCCGACAATCGAGTTGTCGACGATCGACCATAAACAAAAAATCTAGTTTTATACTCTTAAGTCATAAAAAAACAAACAAAAAGAAAGAAATGGCAAGATGATTCGACTTGTTGTGGTGCTTCATAATTATCCATAATGAAGCGCATGCTTCATTATGGACAATTATGAAGCACCCTGTAGATTACAGATTATTTACAAATTACTTTATTGCCTTAAATTCGAGATTTTTGCCTTAAATTAGAGACTTTCAGACCAGTAAACATTCCATTCGTGATTCCATGGGAACAAACACCAGCCAAAGAAACACAAGCTGGAATGGGCGCTTTCGGACATCCACGACCAGAGAATGCTAAAGTCGATCATGGAGCAAAGCCACTTGTACAAGTAAATTTATTTTTGTCACCTGATCAAGCTGGTCCTGATGAAGCTGATCCTGATGAAGCTGGTCCTGATGAAGCTGATCCTGATGAAGCTGATCCTGATCAAGCTTATCCTGATCAAGCTGATCCTGATAAGCTGATCCTGATAAGCTGATCAAGCTCATCAAGAAAAGTCTTGAATTTCAATAACAATTAGCCATCTTTTGAACTTCTGATTCAAAATCTTTCTTCAGGGTCCACTAAACACCGAAACGGTGTTGCCGATGTGGAACGATGAGACAAAGTGTGCGAATAGGTGAGATGAAACTCGGTTTTGTTTTCTGATTGGACTAAAATGAGGCTAAAAAAACCATGAGCTAACTTGAATAAACGAAAAACATTTAGGAAAGGGGATAAACCGTTTGGCTCAACTCGTGGAAATGTTGATGACATTGTGGACAATCACAAGTATCAAACGAGTCCGGAGAAGGTTGGTGAAAGATTTTCTCGTTTTCTTTTGATTTTCTTCTGATTTCTGATGATTTCTGATGATTTCTTCTCATTTTTCTTATTTTTCACAGAGTTGGGCGTTCAACTCAACTTCAACAATCAAAGTTTTAGTTGAAACTCACCGAAACGGTAATCCCATATGTGAATCGGGGAATTAACGTAAAGGATTTGCCAAAATATGGAAATCTCCGGATACAGGTTGAAATAAAAATCAACAATTGACTTATTAAAGCAAAATATAGACCGGTAAGGACATCAATTGGGGTCCGTTGACACCAGGAATGGACAAGAAATCGAATGGTTTCATTTCAAAGCAATTCAAGTCAAACGCTTCATTGAAAGCGGGAAGCAACGTGATCGATCGCAGGAGAAATGGGGTGAGTCAAATTGGGTTCTTTGTTGACCTGAAAAAGCTTAAGTACAATTATACTTACAGTTACAATTATACTTTTAAGTACTTAACTAAAACGGACCTCTACTTTTGAGATTTCAATAAAGACAGGTTCACGACTGATAACTCACAAGGGAAGGCCAACTAGATGATCAAATCAAATGGACCATAGACCATTCGATGCAGAATTTCACGCTGATTCCGAATCTGCTTTTCTTTTTTGCTATGGAGCACTCTGTCAAAAGCTGTACGCATCTAGGTTTTGTAGGAGTTTCAAAAAGCAAACCGGGGCCTTAGAACTCTGTCTTCCACCAGCCGACGAGTAGCAGGGGTGGCCGAGTGGTATTGAGTTAGGACGCAAGGTGGGGAGTCCTCTGGTTGGGGTCCTCTAGTTGGAGTCCGGTAGCTGATTATCTTTTTTCCTTTTTGACCAACAGAAGAATCAACAATGATGACGCTCGTCGATGAATTTAGAGAACACCTAGAATAGAAAACGCGGCAATAGAGAACACATTAAAAACTAAAAAAAGAAAAAACACAATCAGCTAATCAGCTAACGGACTCAAACCAGAGGACTCAAACCAGAGGAATGGAATCAGAGGAATCGAATCAGAGGAATCGAATCAGAGGACTCGAATCAGAGGACTCGAATCAGAGGAATGGAATCAGGGGAATGGAATCAGGGGAATGGAATCAGAGGAATCGAATCAGAGGACTCGAATCAGAGGAATGGAATCAGAGGAATGGAATCAGAGGACTCGAATCAGAGGACTCGAATCAGAGGACTCGAACTACCCTCACCTCGCGTCCTAGCTCAATACCACTCGGCGACCACTGCAACTTGTCGGCTGGCGGAAGACAGAGTTGTAAGGCGGCGGTTTGCCTTTTGAAACTCCTGCAAAACTTTAGATGCGTATAACTTTCTACACAGTGCTCCTTAGTAAAAAAGAAAAGCAGATTCGGAAGCAACGTGAAATTCGGCATCGAATGATTTATGGCTCATGTGATTTGGCCAGCACATTCAGTTGATCTTCCCTTGTCAATCCAATTTCTAGGCAACTTACATGGAATGCGACAGAGAAAGCGAGAATATCATCCCGATTCTCTTCGATAATATGGCATGTGAACAAAAGGTTTGTTTATGACCTTTGTTTGTTTATGACAACAAAATTGAACTCGATTTTCCAGGAAGGCAGTGATTTTGGAGCTTTCCGTCCTCTGGTCAGTGTGGCCACCGGTGGATGGCCGATGACGTTTGATGAGGAGAGAAAATGTCGAATGGCTGTGCCTTTCCAGGTTCGGCTTTTACTTTAAACTGATTCCAAAGCTGATGAACAAAGAAAAAGCTCAAAAATGAAGTGTTAGCTAAAAGATTTCCAATTCTAGAGTGCCGGCTACATTCCAATTCCGAAAATCAAGAAAGTTGCGCCGAAGAAATTGACGAAACCGAAGTTGAAGCCCAGGACAGCCGTTCCAGTGAAAGTGGCTCCAAAAAAGACGACGGCAAAGAAAAAGTTGTGATAAATAGTGTAATTTAGAAATCATAAATATTATAAATGTTTAAATTATAGTTTTTATCTATTTTGTAAATGTTTACATGTTATATTTCAACTTTTAAAAATATCTTTTTTGGTATATCCAATATCCTTGGTTCGAATCGTAGAAATGATTCTTGGAGAGGGAACTGGACATGGTTTTAGATTGGATCGGATCGCGATACGATCTGATACGATCCGATCCGACACGATCAGATCAGATCCGACACGATCCGATCCGATCCGATCCGATATGATACTATCCGATACGATCCGATCCGATCCGATCCATCCGATCCAATCCGATCCAATCCGATCCAAGCCCGATCAGATCCGATCCGACCAGATCAGATCCGATATTTCTTCGTACAGCAAATGTGACCAGGGAGCTGAATGGATAAGAGCATAGTATACAAAGCTAGTATGATTTATTTTTTGCCTGGGTTCGATTCCCACTAGGAGATTTCTCCTGCTTTTTTCCTCAAAATCATCTATTAAATCAGAAACAATCCCAAAATCATTTCATTTTTGTATCGGACAGGATCCGATCCAACACGATACGATTCAATCAGATCAGATCCGATCCGATCAGATCCGATACGAGCAGATCCGATCAGATTAGATCCGATACGAGCAGATCCGATCAGATCAGATCCGATCAGATTAGATCCGATACGAGCAGATCAGACCCGATACGATCCGATACGATCAGATCAGATCAGATCCGATCCGATCAGACCCGATACGATCCGATACGATCAGATCCGATACGATCAGATCCGATACGATCCGATCTTATACGATCAGATTCGACCTGAGTAATACAATTATTGCTTTGGATTGCTAAAAACTAAGCAAATCTCAATTGATGTGTAAAACGCACAACAAACCTAACTCTAAACGATTTTATTGAAGGCACAGATTGCAGGTTGGTGATTTTGTTCATTTTTCGGATCCGATCCGGTCCGATACGATCCGAAAAATGAAAATTCGGATCAGATCCGATCCGACGCGATTCGAAACCATGTCTAGAAGAGACGCAGAGACGAAGAGACGAAGTATTTCTTACAGCATTTCACTTGCAGATTGAAAGCTGATCTCATCTGAAAGCTATTTGCTGGATGAGCTACAGTCTTTTTTGAGCAACAGTGTATTTATTTTCACTCATTGATCGGTTACAGTAGTTTGCTAATTGCGCATTGTGTTTATTTTTATTGTGTACAGTAGTAGGCTATGCGGAGAACTGTATGGGTGGGCTACAGCTGGATCCATTAAACAAAAGCATCACCGTATTCTTTGTTTGTTTCTATTGTGCGGATCAGCTACAGCAATTTGTCAGATCTGTTTCATTGTCAGCTCTGTCAATGTCAGATCTGTCATTGTCAGCTCTGTTTCATTGACAGATCTGTCATTGTCAGATCTGTCATTGTCAGCTCTGTTTCATTGTCAGGTCTATCTCATTGTCAGATCTCTTTCATTGTCAGATCTGTTTCATTGTCAAAACTGTCAACAATTTGACAGATTTGCTTTTAAGAATTGGTTTCTTTTAAATAAATTACAAGGTGTTTACAAAAAACAAAAATTATATCGAAAATATTGAAACAAACAGCAAAATCAGCATTCAATCATCAAAATTTCTTTTGATCTTAAACGATTCACAAAAATGGATAAAACAATAACAAGTGCTGGGATTATAAACGAGAAAATTTGCTTCGCCGAGTTGCATTGATCGTTATCACAACAATAAATGGTACCTTTGTCTCCAAATGCGTCTGTTGCCGAAGTTTTACCACTTTTCTAGAATTGTTATGGTAATTTATCGAAGTATGAACTTTTACAGGAACGGATTAAAGACTTTTACAGAAACGGTTTAAAGTCGATAGATTAGATAAAAATAGAAACAAGTTAAGGGTGGTTTTGATCGTTTTGTAAAGCCTTACTTGAGTAAAATAGAATTTGGAAACAAGAGGGAAACAAACGTCCTGACCGTCTGCTTACCAGGCTTGCCATTGAGCCGACGCTCTACCATTGAGCCGACGCTCTACCATTGAGCCGACGCTCTACCATTGAGCCGACGCTCTACCATTGAGCCGACGCTCTACCATTGAGCCGACGCTCTTCCATTGATCCATTGAGCCTTCTTACAAGGAAACGGTCTGAGCTGATCGAACAAATAGTCTTTTAAGGGAATTACAAATACTTTATAGTTAGTTCTCACACTTGCGTGGTTGTTGGTAGCTCATTTTGATCAGCATGGTCGACCCTTGAAACTCCATACAGTTTCATAACGATTCTGAACTTTCAGCTCCGACCGTTTCCTCGTTAGGCGAAGAAGAAATAGGAATAGAAATAGAAAAAGAAGAGAGGGAAGAGATTCTTGAAGCAATTAGATGCTTATCCAAGAATCTACTCGATTCACTGCAAGGAAAGATTGCTTAATGGGCTCTCTCTCTTCCTTCTCTTTTGTATTTCTTCCTGGGATAGAAGACGTCGATAACTCAGTGGCAGAGTCAGGTTGGTAAGGAGAAGGTAATCAGACGATCGGGGGTTCGATTCCCTTTTGGTTCCAAATTCTTTGCCATTCATTTCCCAAGATTTTCTTCTTCTTTCTCTTCTTCTTTCTCTTCTTCTTTCTCTTCTTCTTCTTTCTCTTCTCCTTTCTCTTCTTCCTCTTCTTCTTTCTCTTCTTCCTCTTCTTCTTCCTCTTCTTTCATTCATTCAGTGACTCAAATGTAATCTTTTCTTGAAATAAACTAAACAAACCGTGCATGTATACCCAAAAGGAGTTGCTATATCATAAACATTTCCCCCACAACCACATCCCCACAACGATCCTTTCTTATCCGCTCCCTGAAATAGAAAGATTTCAGGAATACTTTCTGTAACAATTTTTAGGATTATACAGCAGCTATAATAGCTGCTGTAGATGTGGTGTAGTGAAGTGAAAATACTCTGATAAAATTAGACAATGACACCTTCAACTTTCACCTTCAACGTCCCATAGGCTTTGGCGCAAAAATTGCAATTTCCACAGCTGATAAGTCTCTCCTAAAAAGTTGTTTTCATAAAAAAATTTGTGAAAAAAAGGTAAAAGTAAGATAAAAAAACATTGTTTGATTTGGTTCTTTTCCAATATCGGGGGAGCGGAAGGATTATCGGGGGAGCGAAAGGAAAATCGGGGGAGCAAATTTTGGCAGCGCTACATGTGTCCTATTTAAAATTGTGACGAACGGGAGCTTGCTTTGTTGCAAAAAGTTATCGACTCGAATTCCTCTTGGGGACCTTTCGCCGTGCGCAAGTGTCACATACCCAGCGAAATAGATCTTTTCCCTTTGAGCGGACTTTCATCGATTCGCCACAGTTGCAAATCCACGACTGGATGACTCCTTTGGTGACGAAATAATCGATTGCCGTCGATTCCTTGAACGCACAAATATCGGAGAAGCGCATCGTCGTTAAAGTTTAAAAAAAAACGTTGCCGTTAAAATACAGTCCCGGAAATGCATTTTTCGAGGGGGCAAAATTTGCTCCCCCGATTTTCCTTTCGCTCCCCCGATAATCGGACCGCTCCCCCGATATTGGAAAAGTACCTTTGATTTCATTAAACTTTCATTTAGACTTTCATTTTATAAGACTTTACCTGATTTCCATGCGATTGTCCATCGTTTGAGTCATAATAACAAGTAATTGATAGTGAGCTTCCCACAAGAAAGCTGATAAAGAAAAAGTTCATTTAATTAGATGTGGTTAAGTCCAAAATCAATCGGCTGAGCTGAAAATGCTTGCAGATCGTCGATCATGATCGTCGCTGTCCTATCATTCATCTTTTAAACTCAAATCTTTGAATCATTTTCTTTTGAATTGTAGAATTGTGGAATTGTGGAATTGTGGAATTGTGGAATTTCTTTTGAATTCTAGAAGCCCAGAAAGTCATCCTCTTTTCAGGAATTTTGGGTTTTATGTTAGCGTGAAATCTCTTAAACTTTACAACTTTACATGCGTCAATGTTTACTCAAAAAGTTTCGCAAAAAAGCAAAGAAGTTTGGTTGGGTGGGGAAATGATAGCAGAAATGGGAGAAATGGCGCGAGCAGAAATGGCACAGTTTAGCGCACTATCTCGGTTTAAATCGAAATTGAGAGCTTGGATTCCGCATGCTTTAACAGACACCCAGAAATGACAATTTGTCAGAAATCACTGCCGCTCATCTTTCTCGATACGAGTGCAAATCCTTTTTTATCTATATATAGAAAAACCAATAACAAATATTGTCTATGTAGAGCCAATTCTTTTAAAGCCAATCGTAAGTTAATTCGATTGCTGAAAGTCGAGATATATTAGGGTGATGCAAAAGAAACTGCCGATTTGACGGTAAATTCAAAAAAAGATGGCGTTCGATGGTGACATGATCACAATGGAATATTTTCGCAAGATCTCGAGCAGATTGGCATGGATCGGCCTGAATAACGTCCCTCAGCTTGGCTTCGTTCACGACTTCTGGCCTCGAACCGTGCTCGCAATCTTCCAAAGCCTCGTCTCCCTCTCGGAATCGTTGAAACCAAGTCTGACACTGCCTGAGAGACAAACTGCCATCCCCGAAAGTAGCACAGAGAGAAGGATGCGATTCGTCAGCAGACTTGGTTCCTTTTCTCTACAAATTTGGTCCTCTTTTCTCTTTTGGTTCCTTGCGAGACAACGATGCGATTCGGCAGCAGACTTTCCAATTTTGAAGTTAAACAGTGATGCTGCTCGTAGCACAAACTTTTGCTCGACCATGATCTAAATAAAAAATATAAGCATTTAAAAATCAAATAAACAACAACCAAAAAATTCAAATGTCGAAATAAATAGCAAAGAAATATGCGAACAAACCATAAAAAAAATAATACCGTTAGCATCGCTCGTTTCTGATAAATGAGAGCTGATACCCATCGGCAGTTTCTTTTGCACCACCCTAATAGAAAAAAATCGAAAAGTGCGCTAAAGTGCCATTTTGACTATATAAAAACGGCACTTTAGCGCACCACTTTTCAAAGACGTTTTTCTCTACGTTCTTACAGATGAGTGTACAAAATAAAGAGCACTTTTCTTTAGTCAAACTTGATGAAGATTCTTATTAAAACCAACCGCAAGTCGATTCAATGTTTGTACCTTAAGTAATAAACCGTCAAAGTTGATCACCTTCTGCAAGTAAGTTGGTCAAATTTGACTCAATTTTTCTATATATTCTTACAGGTTAGTCTACAAAACAAATCGAACTTTTCTTAAGCCAAATTTGATGAGAATTTGTTTAAAAGTAACCGTAAGTCGATACGTTTGCTGGAAGTCGAGATATAGAATAAAATAGAAAAGTGCGCTAAAGTGCCATTTTGACTATAGACGCCCTAATTTTCAAGACGGTTTTTCTCTATGTTTTTATGAAAGAGTATACAAAACAAATCCTACTTTTCTATAACGAAATTTGATGAAGATTCTATTAAAACCAACCGCAAGTCGATTCAATGTTTTTACCTTAAGTAATAAACCCGTCAAAGTTGATCACCTTCTGCAAGTAAGTTGGTCAAATTTGACTCAATTTTTCTATATATTCTTACAGGTTAGTCTACAAAAAAAGAATTGTCAATCATTAAATAACATTAGAAAATAACATTATTCATATTTCTAATAATCAAAAAAGAATTTTTAATTGTTTTCCAAAAAAAAACAAAAAGCTTGACTGCGAACCAAGATTAAAGAGTACCGAGCGCAAGCACACTAATTACTGTAACTAGATTGCTAGGCTACGAGCTGGCTATTGGGATGGCGAAATGGCGAAAGGAAAGCCTTTTCGCAGCCTTTTCCAGGAAAAATCAGTGTGCCAGAAATTCGAGAAAAAATTTTTATTTTTTCGAAATTCAAACGGCTATAACTTTGTGCGCTTTGCCGATTAGCGATTTTTGAAAACAGTTTCTGAACGTACATTCTCAGGCTTTTCTTTTGGTACCTATCTCATATCCCACTCCCGGGTAACTTGGAAAGGTTCCCTTATTAAATCACCGGTGGTTTAACGGTCCCAGATGGTAGACTCTTTTAGACTACCGGTAGTCTAACGGTCGGTCGTCGATGTGTTAAAAAGAACTCAGACGTCAGAAGTCTTAAAAACAGTAAGTGCACTTTCAATTTTTATTGTAAGTCGTATTTTTTTAGGACTTTTCTGCTGAAAATCGGCTTATTGTAGGTCGAATTGCTGTAATAACACTGCTGTAACTATTAGGTTGTCCAATAAGTAATGCGTGTTTTGACACGATTTTCAAAATATCACAAAATTAACAAAAGAGAACTTTATTAATCGATATATTCTCCACAAAAATCAGCAACATTTCTCCATCGTCCGAGCAAAGAGTGAAGTCCGTCATAATAGAATGAAGCTGGTTTCGATGAGAAGAAATCGTCGAGCCATTTTTGCACCTCGTCAACACTTTTGACTCGTTTCCGTCCGCAAATCGTTTAAACCAGCGCTGGCACTGGCTGATTGAAATTGAATCCTCTCCAAATGCGGCACAGATAGTTCGATGGCAATCCGCTGCAGTTTTACCTCGTTTGAAATCATACAGCATTGATGCGCGGACAACAAACTTTTTGTCTTTCATCTTACAAAACAACATATCTATTATAAAACAAAGGCAAATGAATAAAATAATATATAAAAATAAACACAAGATGCTGATGATTAAAAAGAGCATATATTTGCTCGAAGCGATTTAGCAATAGTTTCGAAATAAGTAACACGCATTACTTCTTGGACAACCTAATAGATTGCTGTAACTAGATAGCTGCAACTAGATAGCTGTAACTAGATTGCTGTAACTAGATAGCTGTAACTAGATTGCTGTAACTAGATGGCTGTAACTAGATTGCTGTAACTAGATGGCTGTAACTAGATTGCTGTAACTAGATTGCTGTAACTAGATTGCTGTAACTAGATAGCTGTAACTAGACTGCTGTAACTAGACTGCTGTAACTAGATTGCTGTAACTAGATTGCTGTAACTAGATTGCTGTAACTAGATGGCTGTAACTAGATTGCTATACACTATTTAACAAACGCTTTTGCTGTGATTTATTGCCTTTTGCTGCCCATTTTCAATTTAAATTTATCGAAAAAAGTTGATTTTCTTGCACAGAAAAAAAACAACGCTCTAGACGTGACCCGGAATGGAATGAAATAACGCTAAAAAGAGGAAACTAAGCCATTTTGCAGAAAAACTAAAAAAAGGCACAAACTAGCATTAAATAGCATTGAATAGCGTTAAATAGCGTTTCAGAAAAAGCAAAATCATAAGAAAATCACAAGAAAATCCAAAGAAAATCAAAGATCTAAAGGGTGAATGAATTTTCGTTTTACAGACGAATTTACAGACGAATTTACAGAAGATTTACACTGTACACAGGAAAAAGAAGGAAGGAAAAAAGGGGATTTGTAAAGCCTTGAAGCGATCACAAAATTGTGTCAAAATATTGGAAAAGGATAGAAACAGTACTGGACAAGGAAATGAAAAACGATCGTCACTTTCGCGCGTCTGTAACTCCGTTGTCTTTACCGTATTTCTAAATATGAATATTACCATTGTGTAGCCCTTGAAAAGAGCTTTCAGAAAATGTAGAACACTATAGTTTAAACTCAAAGACAAGGGAGCTACAGGGGCGCGAAAGTGACGATCTTTTTTCAAATATAATATTCCATTGTTCAGTATTTTCGGAACGAATCGGATAACAATTATATAAAAATATAAAATATTGGAAATTCTTTTGAATAGTTGATAGTATTAGGGTGATAGGTGAAGAAAATTAAGGTGAAGAGTGAATTTGTTTGATTTTTTTCGATCAATTGAAGATTTCAGCTCATGTGAGTGTCCTGAAATCGATTTTTAAACGCTTAGAAAGTTGCTAGATTCGTTTTTTTTAAACGAAATATCTTTATTTTTAATTTATTAACAAAATTTTATTGATTTTAAGAAGTGGAAAAGAAAGAAAGAGCAAAAAAGAGCGAGATTTTCTCTTTTAAGCCTTTTCGACCGTTTTCTAAGTGGCTACTTGAGAAAATTACTGTAATCGAACCGTCAATTCACATTCGATCAAAAGGATTTCGAGATTATTGATTGATTTCCGTAATTTCCCATTAAATTATGTCAAAATTCAGCTAATTGAGTGAGAACTGACGGCCTTATGACGGTCGTTTTCTAAAAACGCGTTCTAAAAATGAATTACTAGCTTGAAGTAGATAGATATGACTAGTTATTTCAATGCTTTTATTAAATTTGAAATCTTTGATTAGTTTAATCTTTGATTAATTTAATATTTACGATTAGCATTTCTTCTCACCTGATCTTGTCCATTTATTGGCGTGCCGCTGAACGATTTCTGGATCTCGGCTGGGACGAATTGCCGCAAAACAACGTTTTGCGCTTCGAGTTGTTGCACCTGAAATCATAAAAGATTATAAAAATTGATACTGAAAGGAAATCAGAATTATTATATAAAAGAGCAGTGTCTGTCCGTCTATCTGTCTATCTGTCTGTCCGTCTATCTGTCTGTCCGTCTGTCCGTCTATCTGTCTGTCCGTCTGTCCGTCTGTCCGTCCGTCTGTCTGTCTGTCCGTCTGTCTGTCTGTCCGTCCGTCTGTCTGTCCGTCTGTCTCTCTCTGTCTGTCCGTCTACCTGTCTGTCTGTCTATCTGTATGTCTGTCTGTCCGTCTGTCTGTCCGTCTATCTGTCTGTCCGTCCGTCTGTCTGTCTGTCTGTCTGTCCGTCTGTCTGTCCGTCTATCTGTCTGTCTGTCCGTCCGTCTGTCTGTCTGTCGGCTCCCCGCTGGTCGATTTACATGATTTTTAGTTTATTAGACTGTCTGTCTGTCTGTCTGTCCGTCCGTCTGTCTGTCTGTCGGCTCCCCGCTGGCCGATTTACATGATTTTTAGTTTATTAGACTTAGAATTCTATGTAGTTGCGCATCCCTTACAGTCGTTACAGTGAACTCCAGTATCTTGGTGTTGGGCCGTTCAATTTACACGTTCTTGGTATAATTAGATGCGCCAAGTCTTTCTCTATCGAATTGGTGTAAAAACTCTTTAAATTGAACAGCCCAACACCAAGAAATTTGAGCTCAAAGTTCGATTGCCAATGGCAAAGGGGGCGGGCGCGTTTCAAATGTTCCACAATGAAAAATCGCTGCTAGATCTGGATCTCGTCGCTGCTAGATCTCGTCAAAAAAGTCTTAACCGTCTTGGCCGAAAAACCCGCCATTAGCCGGGTTTAACGTTAACCGATTAACAGTTGAAAGCAATAATATACCCAGAAAATGATCAAGATCCAGGGTAAAGTTGCTTACGCTAAAGGTTTACGCTAGATGGCAAATGACGATAGATAACGGGGTCGAACCCGCATCGTGTGGGCCGTAAACAATCGCGCTCGCGGCTGTCCACGGCGACAACTTATCCACCAACCCCAAAGCATTCATCATAAAGATCAATCTGCAACATCAATGTCTTTCCAACCTTAGCCTCTAATTCCATGATGGTGCTCCGTAGAACTTCGACCTCTTCTCGGACGGCGAATGTGAGATGGGTTTTGACGAGATCCTGGAATTGTATACATTACTTTAAAAATCTGCTCATAATATGCAAATTAAAGCTTGGTATTTGTCTAATAAAACTCCAGTCAAGTCTAGCTTTTTCTGCTTGACCCAGGCTGCCTAAAAAGGTTATCGGACACCGCGCCCTTTTACCATTGACAATCTAACTTTGAGCTCAAATATCTTGGCGTCAGGCTGTACAATTTAAATATTCTTAATATCACTAGGTGCGCCAAGTCTTTCTCTGTCGATTGGTAGAAAAACTATTTCAATTGGACAACCCAACACCGAGATATTTGAGCTCAAGACAAAGGAGGCGGGGAGATATACACGCTCCGCCCTTCGCCGTTGGTAATCCAACTTTGAGCTGAAATATCTTGGTGTTGGGATGTCCAATTCAAATCTTCTTTGTATCATTAGATGCGTCAAGTCTTTCTCTATCGATTGGTATAAAAACTATTTAAATTGGACAACGGAACACCTAGAAATTTGAGCTCAAAGCTGGATTGCCAATGGGAAAAGAGGCAGAGCGCGGATCAAATTTCCCACGCCTAAAAATCTCAAAACAACAATAATTAATTAGTTAATTAATTAATTAACGATTTCTTTTTGTCTTTCAAAATGCCCACCATAGCTTGCTCAATTTTGTTATCGATGGCGATCACATTGAGCTGAGCCGTCGAAGAGCTGAAAATTCGCGATTGAAAGCGTTGAAACCGTAAACTCTTTTCACAATTTACAACCGATAGACTTGTTTTTTGAACTTTTATGAACGAAAAAGGGGTTTCCTTATGTCCCTTTGTGCTTTCCTCAAGGTGTTTGAGAACCTTTGTACCTAGGGAAAATCGCCTTATCTCCTGGCTGGTCGACTCTCCCATTTTCTCAAATTGTAAACAACTCCACTCTGTTATCTCCTCAGAAAACTTGAAATAAAATCGATTCTCTTCGTTCAGCTCAAGAACTCAGTTGGTGTTGTTGAATTTTCGGGAATAACAAGGCCTTTGTCTTTTGGGAAGTTACGTACGAAGACCAAAAGATTGGAAGTGGCTAAGATTAGAAGTGGCTAAGTTTTTTGGCACTTTGGTCAACTAGATAAGCCTTGAGCCTAAAAATAGAACAATGGAGACGAAAATAGACAGAAATAAGTGTTTATCAAAGAGTTTTTTTTTGATTAGATTCAATCAGGCTAAAGATTTGATCGGGTTTTGTCTTTGAACCAGGAACTTTTGAATGATTTGAGGAGTACGGTAGGGAAATAGACACCGTACTCATTGCTACAATGTACAGTACGTGTTTGGAGCCGAAAAGGTAGCTTGAGAGAAAGCGGTAACTATCAAAAACGGTGATCGAGCATTTGATTCACTCCGGGCCCCTTTTACCATTGGCAATTTAACTTTGAGCTCAAATATCTAGGTGTTGGGCTGTTCAATTTACATGTTCTTGGTATCATTAGATGCGCCAAGTCTTTCTCTATTGATTGGTATAAAAACCATTTAAATCGAATAGCCCAAAGCCAAGAAATTTGAGCTTAAAGTTAGATTGCCAATGGCAAAGGGGCGAGACGACCCTTTGTCATTGCCAACTTTGAGCTCAAATTCTTTGAGCTGTTTGTTTGTCCAATTTAAATAGTTTTTGTACGAATCGATAGAGAAAGACTTGGCGCATCTAATGATACCAAAAATGTTTAAATTGAACAACCCAACACCAAGAAATTTGAGTTCAAAGTTAAATTGCCAATGGCAATGTCAAATGTCCCACAATCTCACAAAACTCACTTCACAAGCACTTCAGGTACCCGCACAAAGATTTGTTTCTTGAGATCAGGAGTGATTGGAGTATTTGGATGGAGATCTTCAGGGAAACGGGGACTTTCCGGCAACGCGGCCAATCCCCCGTCATCCGCCTCAGCAACACTCTGCTCAGGGGAAAGTGCCGTGTACGGAGACCCAGGCGGGGTCATTGTGGAAGCGGATCGAGATACTTGAAATGAAAAGGTTTTTTCCCTTTATTTTGGGCTCAAAACCTTGATGCGCATGGCGTAATCGAGTGAGCGAGTTGTCGAGTTCTTCCACTGACGTCATCCGGTGGTAGCCGATTCCTTGATTCCATGGTGTGCCCATTGGTGGGCCTTGCACGATTGCCGACATTCCGAACAACAATTCGTCTAGATGTGAGCATATAGAACAATGAAAAATTGATAGAACAATGCGAAATTGATAGAACAATGCATTTTTTGAATAAGAATGAACCAGAGAAGTAGTACGGAATTTGAAAATCGATTTTTCGTCAAAGAAAGTCAAAGAAAGTCAAAGAAATCAAAAAGAAATTAAAGTAGACTAGAAAATAAAGGTGTTCTCAAGGAAAAAGCTACAATAAAGCTCTTAAAATCTTAAAAGAAGATAAGGATTACTGTACTTTGTCAGCTTTTAGGCTTTCCAGCTTTCCATCTTCTTTTCCAGCTTTCCAGCTTTCCAGGTAAAATCTAGAGAAATACCGTCTAGAATAAGCTGTACTAGAAAGCTAAAGGTAACGAGTAAAGCTAAAGAAATTAAAGGTAGACTAGAAAAAAAAGGTTTCCTCAAGGAAAAAACTACAGTACAGCTCTTAAAATTAGATTAAAAGATAGGGGTTACTGTACTTTTTAGCTTTTAGGCTTTCCATCTTTCTTTTCCAGCTTTCCAGGCAAAATCTAGAGAAATACCGTCTAGAAAAAGCTGTACTAGAAAGCTAAAGGTAACGAGTAAAGCTAGAGGTAACAAGTAAAGCTAAAGGTAACGAGTAAAGCTAAAGTTAAGGAGTAAAGCTAAAGGTAAGGAGTAAAGCTAAAGGTAAGGAGTAAAGCTAAAGGTAAGGAGTAAAGCTAAAGGTAGGGAGTAAAGGTAAAGGTGAGGAGTAAAGGTAAAGGTAACAAGTAAAGCTAAAGGTAACGAGTAAAGCTAAAGAGTAAAGCAAAAGCTAAAGGCAACTTGGTTACAAAACTTTTCTTATTACATGAAGAATGAAGGAAAACTCAACAAAACAATTAAAATCAAGTCATTCAAAGAAAGTTGAACAAAGTTAACAAAAAACTTTCTTCAATAACAATTAACAATAACAATTTTGAAACCACTAACAAAATCTAAAGCGATTTTCGTGCAGAATAACAACCAAAAATTCACTCAATCAGTTCTTGCTTTATTTTATCAACAGATCAAGTAGTTTCATTGATTCAAAACAAAAATAAATGAAAAATAAATGACCCAAAGAAGCCAATCGAGTGGCAAAACAAGAACAAAACAGAAATCAAAGGTGAAAGAAGAAAAAAAAAGTTTGATTTTGACAGAGAGGCGCCTCACCGTCTCGTTGCATTCAAAAAGATCAGGCCAGTGTTTTTCCAATTTTAAGAATCAAATTGGGAATGTTTGATGGAGAGAAGGAGAAAAGTTATCTGCTTTTGTGAGATCAGAAATTTTTGGAGTCGTGTTGATAAAAGAGAAATCCGAAGAGAAAAGCATCAATCACTGGACAATGGAAAAGAGTTAAAAGTTGTTGGAAAAGACTTTTTCGTTTTGATTTCTAACAAAATGAGGAGAAAAGGTCAAGAGGGAAATTTGAGTGTGCATGGTGAAGTGTTACGTTTGATCTAGAAATCCGGCTGATCTAGAAATCCGTCTGATCTAGAAATCCTTCTGATAAAGAAATCCTTCTGATAAAGAAATCCGTCCAATCTAGAGTGAAGTGAGGTCAAAGCCGATCTAGAATCAAGCCGATCCCTCTAAATCTAAGTCTGGATCGGACGTGTCTGATTTAGAGTGATCGGCTTGATTCTAGATCAGAGGTTTGACCTCACTTCACTTTAGATCGGACGTCCGATTCGATTCGATCCGATCCGATTCGATCCGATCGGACGTCTGATCTAGAATCACATCGGACGGATTTCTAGATCAGACCTAAAACACCTAGTTTTCCGATCTGGTAGTAAAATGCTGAAATTGAGGCCTTTAATCGATGCGGCTTCACTCAAATCATTGAATTTAGGCTAAAAATTGGGTTAACTGCAAGTTAGGCTAAAAATCTTTCTGATTCTTTTCGTATTTAGGCTTTTTTTTAAGGATTTAAACGAAATTTGATAAAGTTTAAACAATTTAAACAAAATTTGATAAAGTTAAAGATATTTGTTGTTTGGAAAAGAAGAAAAAGGATTGTTTAGAAAGAAAATTGTTTGTTTAAAAGCTTAAGCCTAAGCTGAAAACCAGCTGACCTTTCTAGGCTTTTTAAATCGAGTTTTGAATCGAAGGAATCGACTTTTAAATCAACTTTTGAGTCGAAGGACTTTTTCGTTTCAAAAGCGTATTTCCATTAGTCATCGTATCAAAAAAAGACAAGAAAATTGACCGAAAAAGACGCTTAAAAAGCTTGGGGGTTAGGCAATGTCATCAGGAAAAAGAAAGAGAGGGTGAAAACCCTCAAAAACGACGATCGGCCACTCATCGAAAGGGGGGAAAAAAGAAAAGAAAGAAAAGCTAAGAGATTCGGGTGGACGAACGAAAAAACGAAAAAACGCTGAGGAAACGTTCGATTCTCGTCGGCCACCCTCGTGTAGAAATCCGAAGGGTAAACAGTGAATGAAAGGGGGAAAAAACGCAGAATGAAAGGGGAAAAACGCAAAACTTCATGAAGAGAATGGATAGGGGAAAGGTGCTTCAACACAACACACACAAAAATCCTCTAATATCAGCTAGAAGTGTTAAGAATTATTCTAAAACAAATTTATTTGAGATTTTATGATATTTACTTGACTTAGAGAGGTAGATTGGGTAAGGATTGGGCAAAGCAAAGGTTTTTCTTGTGACTGAAAGCAAGAACTCGAGCTTTGAAAGACTGAAAGCAAGAACTCGAGCTTTGAAAGACTGAAAGCAAGAACTCGAGCTTTGAGCACTTCTGGAATGGTAAATGATAAGGAAATGGTCTCAAATTTACTTAAAATCAACGAAATTGAGTTTATGAAAAGTTTATCTGTTTCTAAAAACGATGTAGAAGAGCAAGATTGAAGTTTCGATGTAGAAGAGTAAGATTGAAGCTAGCTCGGTTAGAAACAGTACAAATGGGCAACAATGACAGTAGAAATGGGTGACTGAACGCGAGAAAAAGAGCTGATTGGATGAACTGATTAAACTGATCAATGGTCGAAGGGTAAACAGTGAATAGGTCGAACTTATCGGGCTGAATTCAAGTTTAGACAGTTTATGGCCCACTAGTAGACAGTTTATGGCCCTCTAATAGACAGTTTATGGCTTTAGCGTTCAAGAAAAAACAAAAAAACTCGAAAAGAAAAACAAAAGGGACTTGAACAGAGATCGAACCCGGACCCCGTGGTTGAAAGCCTTTTCGTTGAAGTCATTGAAGTCATTGAAGTCATTGAAGTCATTGAAGTCATTGAAGTCATTGAAGTCATTGAAGTCATTGAAGTCATTGAAGTCATTGAAGTCATTGAAGTCAATTGAAGTCAATTGAAGTCAATTGAAGTCAATTGAAGTCAATTGAAGTCAATTGAAGTCAATTGAAGTCAATTGAAGTCAATTGAAGTCAATTGAAGTCAATTGAAGTCAATTGAAGTCAATTGAAGGCATTGGTCAATTGAAGTCGGTCAACGAAGTCCATTGAAGTCTATTGGTGTTGAAGTCAATTGAAGTCAATTGAAGTCAATTAAGTCAATTTGAAGTCAATTGAAGTCAATTGAAGTCAATTGAAGTCAACGAATGTCAACTGAAGTCAACGAATGTCAACGTATGTAGTCAACGAATGAATGTCAACGTTGAAGTCAATGATTCTAATTTCAGATTCGATTTCCTTATTCTATAAAATTCACTAGGTAGACAAAAGCTCGCCCTGAGTTCTACCTTTTCAGGCTTGTCAAAAGAGAAAACCTCTTTAAAGTACTTAAACGACTTATTCAATTGATTCTGCAAGTTCTAATGTACATTAGAACTGATCATTTTGTTCAATTGATCAATTGATCATTTTGTTTTGATCCATTGAATTCATGACTTTGAAAACACAAAGAATACAGATTAAAGATGTTCTAAAAGAAAAAAGAAAGGACTCTCCACTCTCTCAATTCACAAAAAGAACTGTCAATCCCCGATCGCGTCAACGTTTTTCTCATCGACTCTTTCACTTTTTTTTTTGTCTTTAGAGAACAACAGTCTTTTCTTTGGGTCAACACGACTAAATCTTTTAAGAAAAGATTCAATAGATCACGTTTGACCAAGTTTTTGTTTGGAATTTTGATTGGCTTTTGAAAGTAGAAAAGGGCGTTCATTTTTACAATCTAATGGCGCAACATCAGCCATTTGCCAGTCAACAAAAAGTTGGCTTTCCAAAATTGCCTTTGCATTCTTAAATTGAATCTGAAATTAATCCATAAGCTTTACTGTAAGATGTACTGCAAGCTATACTGTAAGCTATACTGTAAGCTATACTGTCAGCTGTACTGCAAGCTATGCTGTAAGCTATACTGTAAGCTATACTGTAAGCTATACTGCAAGCTAAACAAGGTAGTGAGTGAACTTTGTGCTCTTTGTGCTCACAAATGTAAACGTAAACTTTCTGTTTTACTTCACTTACTTCGCTTTCCCTTGCTTTATAACTAATAAAAGCTTAAAAAGCTTAAAAAGCTTAAAAGGCTTAAAAAGCTTAAATAAAACTAGCATTAAAGCTTAAAGAATGAAGAAACCAGTGCACTAGAAGTGGTATGTTTATCAGTTTACCAGCACAGGCTAGAAATAACTATGGTAAAGTGGTTATTGTAAAAGATAAACTGGAAAACAAACTGTAAAACAAGCTGTAATACAAGCTTTAAAACAAGTTGTAATGTAAACTGAAATACAACCTATAATACAAACAGTAATACAAACAGTAATACAAACTGTAACACAAGCTGTAAAACAAGCTGTAAAACAAGCTGTAATACAAACTGTAATACAAACTGTAATACAAACTGTAATACAAACTGTAATACAAACTGTAAAACAAGCTGTAAAAGATAAACTTTGGCCTAGAATGTTTTCAAAACTTTAAACTTTCCTACAATTTTAGGTCAAACCTGGTGACTTTTTAAAAAACAATAGCAAGTTGCAGAGATGGAAAAGAGTTGATTTATGGATGA